TTAAATGAGTATAAAATTGATTTAATTATTTTTAAAAAATTATTTAATAGAAAATATAATAGCCAAAATTATAACCAATTTAGTCATTAATTTTTACTCTATACATATACAGTATTTTAGTATTTTTTATCTGTATAATTGTGTAATGTTATATTTATAGATAAAGTTAATATTAATTTATTAATATAATTATTATATTTTTAATAATTTGATTATATCTTAATAATTTATACTATTTATCGTTCAATGTATTATTTATTGAACTTTTAATAAAGTCAGCAAATTTTGCGAACAAGTATTTTCCCAATCATTTTGTCGCAAAAGGCATCGATTATATGCAATATAAAAAGTTATTCATTGAATAATTCATTAATTATTACAGTAATACTGCTAAAACTTTTAAACAATTTTAAATAATATATATATATATATATATATATATATATATATATATATATTGCTTATTATATTAATAATTTACAATAGTTAAACCAAAATATTAAAAAATAAAATATATATTGATAATATTTTAAGGCATTATAAAATGATATCTTGTTTATCATTTTAAAGGTCTCAAATTAAATGCTTAAAAACAATTTTAAAATCAACTAAATATATTATTAATACTTAATATAAAAATAACTGTTTCTATGTATGACTATTAGCAACAATAATTATCCAATAATTTATTGGACAATAACTTATTTAGTATTWARAGACATTATCTGATAACTAAATGTCTGGCAACACTCTCATAAAAATAGTTAACTTATGTGTAAGTTATAACAGATATACTGTATATACAAATCAAATAAAAATCAATCATTTATTAGAGAAAATAATATAAAATAGTAATATTCCTGAAATATAATATACTGTATAGTTTGATATACATATATACACTATTATATACCCTTGATTTTTATGTAGTTATAATTTAATATATTTCTATTATAAATACATTTACACATAAATAATATAAAATTTCAAAAATAAATTAACTCTTGTCTCAAGGCTTTAGTATAAAAAGTTAAATATTAAAAAATGATTTTTGATATTTTATTAATACGTCTGTATTCAAACAGTGAAATTGTATTTTTTATAATTTTGTGGTAAAACTCCCCAATGAGTTCAGTCAACCATTAGGTTCAAACAATATTTTGATTTTCATTATGATATTGTATTCACAAATCACAATATTATACAAATATTAAAAGTCAATGTAAATCATTATTAAAAAAGCAACTAAACTATAGAAAAATCCTAAATAATAATAAAGTCATTGATCTCAACATTTTTATGATCTATTTTTCCAGTTTATGTATAGATTTTATGTATTTGACACACTATATGAATGACAAATATATTTTACACAAACAAAACTAAATGTTATTATATTTGCCTCATTTTCATTGATAAAATAGGTTTTATACACACAATGAATATTTATTGGAATAGATTTAAAACATATTATTGGTTGAATTGAGAGAAAAGTTTAAAATTTACATTTATAATAAATAATTACCTTGATAAAAAATTGAATAAAAAACTTTTGCTTAATTCATTGATATCACCTTTTTTATTATATTTTCATTTTATGATAAATGACAAATCAAAAATCTTGAAAATTAATATTGTTTTTTAATTAAATAATTTATTTAATCGCTTAATTTTTATGTTAAGTAATATATTAATAAATACTTTATAAATATAATTAATAAAAATGGATTTTTACTAAAACTTAAATTAATATTTATATTAATTAATAAACCAAATAAACTAATTTATAGTATATATACTGTATATTAGTATAAATAAACAATAGAAATAAAATATTAATTTTTTAATAAATTTCTAATCTATTAAATATTAAGCTATTGTAGATATTTATTGATATTTATTGCTTGCTAACTATAAGTTGTATGTATTAMATACTATGTAAATATCAGTTATTAACATAGAGTACAATATAAATACTGTACTGTAGTGTACTAAAGACTAAATAAGATTTTATAATAMATTTTTGCATATTTATTAATATTAAACTATATTTTGTTATAATAAGCAAATTATAAGACTTAATTAATTATAAAATATAATACAATACAACACTTTTGTATAATTTTTTAATTTTTATTATATATAATTTATATGGATTAGGAGTGAGTTAGATGTGATAAATTATGTAAGACTAAACTGTTGGCAAAATTGCTATATAAATAATTTTAAATAAATTAATTTATATTAAAAAAAATACTGGATAACTGAAAACAGAAATAAATATATATGAAAAAACTAGAATATTTATGAACTAATTAAAATATTACTATTTTATTTAATATATCTATTAATATATTAATCAAACTAGCAATAATATACATATATATATATAATGTTTTAAATTATAGCATTGCAATATAAAATCATAACAAATATATATATATATATATATATATATATATATATATATATATATATATATGTTTTTTATGTTTTGTAATAACACTTATCTACAATTTATTGTTTTCAATAAATAAAACAATCAATTCCTCCATTGAATAACCTAACCCAATRAAATAAACTAACRATATATTAATAAATCATTTTTTAATAAAAATATTTGCTGTCTATACAGAAAAAGTAAAAAATTGTTTAAACTATCTATTTTTTATCTCTAGGTTTGTCAAAGTTATTTAAGCAATGAAATTGATTGACATTTTTTAAAAACATATTAAAAAAATTTAAAGCAAATTTTGCAAATTGTTTTATTGAAGATTAAATTCCTAATGAATTGACAATATTTGCAATCATTTTGATATTTCTCAGCTGAAAATCATTATATYCAATGATTACATATTTTTAATTAACCACATATTTATAAACAGCAGATTCATATTATATATTTTTATAGCTAAAGATATATTACAACTAATTTAGACATTGAAGAAATTATAATTGAAAATAAAATTAATATTAAACATTATATTAGACATTAAAAAGTATTAAAATTATTGTATAATATATTTATTAATAAAAATCATATACAGTTTAGAAAAACACTACTTTAACATATGATCTAAAGTCAACAATTGGACAAAACTAAAAATGTGATTAGATATTAATTATAAAAAAATCATATGAAAGTATCACTTTAGTTCAATATTGCACACATGCTATTGAAAGTATTTGAGTACACATTTTTTAAGACAAATAAATTAATATTGTTATCAAATGTTTTAATGACATGTGATTTTTTTGGGACACAAATGTGTGACAATTTTAATTATATTGATGATTATACATTTTATACAATATTTTACGTTAATATACTGTATATGTACTGAATTTTATATAATTTAAAATAATATAACTAATGTATTGTTATTATATTTGTGATAATAGAGTATTAAAAACAGTAATAAATATTCAATTAAAGACATTAGTTAGTACTAAACTCACCGAATTTTTTTAATAGTATTTTTTAATAACTTTGAATAAATAATTTTGTATATTTTCTGTACAAAATTTAATCTAAAATAAAATTAGTATAAAATATATCTGTTTAATATTGTATATAATGACATAAACGAAAATATTTTATACAATAAATTAGTTATTAATTGATATATATTTATAATTATCTTTATTTTAATATGWCTTCTTATATTCATTTCTTGAAAATATAATTAAATATTTTTATTATTAAATAAAAAATAAATATAATTTAGTTATTTAAAATTTTTTATACCGTATATTTATATGCTATAAAATATTTAAATAAAAATCTATACAATATTAAATACAAACATACTGTAAATTCATGTACTTTTAGTCAGTCTAGTCAGTAAATAATAATTTATAACATTGTATTAATACTTATTATGTATGTATTAGTTATTGTATTTTSTAATTTAACTTATGATTACATTAAATATATTTAATACTTAAGATAACTTTATTTTATAATTGAAACAATACAATGTTTTACAAAATTAAATATTCTGTCATATAATGTAAGATAATGTCAAGTAAATGTATGACAAAATTCAATGAATACCAATTTTGACTGTAATTTATAAGCTATAAATTATACAATTTTTTATATAATACTAAATTGAATATTATAATTTATTATAAATAAAAAATTAAAATAATAATAGATTTAAAAAGTATTTAATAATTAATGAGTTTATAAAACTAACTGAGAAAAATTCAATGTTAATTATAATTTAATGTCAAATTATAATTACCTGTATATTATATAATAAATTATGAAAATCTGTCACTCAAATAACTAATTAAATCGCTAAAACTTACTATTTTTAAAAGTAATATAATACATATGATTTATCAAAATTAGAAAAATATTTTCAAAATTTTTCAATATATATAGTATTTCACTAACAAATGCAAACAAAATTTTAGATATTTTTCAATAATATTTTATCAAAATATATAAATATTTTTTAAACAAAAATTATATTTATTTATATAATATTTAATACAAATACTGTATAACTTTGAATACCATAAATTAAATTATTATAACACATTGTTTTACTACCAATAAGTGTTTTTTCATATATATTTATATAATAATTTCTAATATTTATTTTAAGTATTCTAATAATTTTTATATTAAATATTTACTTTAAAATAAAATTATACASTACAGGTATATTATTATATAATGTTTAGAAATGTAATAATTTTATTTATTTGTTTTTTCACTGTTATATTATTTATAAATTTTAATATATATTTCAATTATAAATCGTATTTACAAGAGACTAGAAATTCGTTATTAATTGAATAGTTTGATCACAGCTTAAGTTATAATTTAGTTATTTCAAAGACACTGCGATTATGATACACAGTATATCAACAAATAATATAAAAGTATATTTTAAATAAATATATATTAAAGGAATGTGTCATTAAATAATAAAATTACGGTAAATATGTAATAATTAAATAAAAATACATATAAAAAATATATATAAATCAATAATACAAATAACATGAGATATACACAAAATACTTATTTGTGTCGTTACCGATAAATATTAAAACAAATCACAAAAAACAATACAAAAGTACACTAATTTATAGTCAATTATAACAGATATCAAACATTTTGAAGATTATTCAAGAGTTGGTTTTCAATCGTATCCTGCATTTCGATGGCATATAGACTGGCGTGAAGTCCGATAACGAAAAAGGAGGCGCCGATCACCTAATAAATTGATATCAATTATATATCATATAAGTTAGKATATCCGTGAATACTAACCCAGAAGACAGCCTGACCGGCACCGGCCAAATGAAACAATGGGAACGATATGATCATAAGGAACAGGTATTGTTGACCCAATGAAAACTTATAGCCAAACAATTTAAGCGGACTTTCGGCGTTCTTCAACATCACTATATATCCGAGTCCGGCAATGGCCACAATGGCCAACAGTAACAATGGACTGGTCAGTACACAATATATCACCAAAATTAAAGAAACGCACAAATAGTTGCTCTGAAAGTGCTCGATATTGCGGACCAAACGGCGCGACCACTGGACAGTCGAGTTGGGAGTCTTCATGCGATTCGTATCAATAAAAGAGCCCCAACTCTGCAGTCGCGACCAAAGCAGTTCTGACATCTCTTTTGGCGATAACTTATTGAATGGCAGACCACTTCTGGATACTCTATGACCGGCCGGCACTTTCATCTGACCGTCCAAATCACCCGATGGCTCGTCGATTAACAACGATGTGGCCTCAGCTGTCTTGGCCTCCATTGGCTCCGATGACAGTATATCGGCTACGGGAGTGCTGACCGTCTCAGTCTTGGTGGCCATCGGTCGCTGTAATGGATGGATGCGATGAAGTGGTAATCGACAAGAAGTTTGTGTCAATAAAAAACAACTTTTAATTATTAATTAAATTCAATGAGTGTTGCGTTGGAAAGGATTCTGTCATATGTTTGGTTGCATTACTTATAATCACATTTAAAGCTCATAGAGGACACCACTATTGGTCGCTAATGTATTCAACAAATAATACAAAAATAAATTATAAAAACATTTAATCAATTAAATAGTATTTGGTTTCAATAAATGGTTAAATTATCCAAAATATAGTCGGTTTGGGTTGGATTCAGATATTTTTGTTTCAGATTTAGTTTTTATTTTGCATTTTTTTTATTGCAATATAAATGTACAAAATTTAAAAATTGTACCAAAAATCGATAAAAATAATTTTAATATAATTATTTTTTTAAAAAAAACTWTAACTCAATATATAGCTAAAAGTTCATACTATATAAAAACTTTAAAAATGTATTTTAATTTTTTATAATCTTATATAATCTAATCCATCAAAAAATATAAGTATWTTTTAACCATAAAATATATGTATTTATAGTTTTTGTTTGATTCTGTACCTGAATTTTGGTTTTGGTTTCTATTTTTTAAAAAATATTGTCATTAATAGAGCCCACAATTGTCTTAAATAACAAAAATTTTAAACTAATGATAGTTTTAATAATATTTTATATTAAATAAATTATTATTATTAAATTATATTTTGCCAATAAAGTTAAAAATTTAATTTAATATCAATTAATATAAATATTTGAAATATTTTACACAAATTAAAAATTTCAAGAATTATAATATAGAATTTTATTAAATAAAATTCTGTAATATTTTCTGACTATATTTACTAATTTTTATTTGAAAACAAATCATAATTTTAATCACAACATTTACTAACAGTWAAMGTAATACAATCATATTTTTAAATATTTAATAAACGCATAAAACTAATATAACAATCTCACAAATATATTAGTACTGTTTTACTATACTATTGTATTATTTATTTATTAATAAATTTTTTTATTGTATACTATTTTGAACAAAAATATTTGATAAATGACATTAGTRTCTGACATTAAAGGACACAAACTAATTGAAAGTAATTTATATATTTTCATGTATTGTATATACGGTACATAATATGTAAGTGTAGTCTACAGATATTGTTGTCAATGGTTTTTTTAGAGGACAGACCAATGTTTGACTATCAGTAGTCTACCATTCCGTGACTGATACCATAAGCCCATCCCAGCGGACAATTTCTTTATGTTTAAATCATAGATCACATACATTGAGGTAGTGTTGTATTCAATAAAAAAATAGACATTCAATATATTTATTTAAGTGACGTCTGAATGGGTCAAACTCTTTCATATCAAAAGCTAACAGTGCTTTACAACTGTGTTATGTGTCTGTTATTTGAGAGGATCAAGTAGTTGCCTGAAGACCTTATCTTTGGTCAATAACATTAATATATACTTTTATATACCTTTAATAATTATAGATATATAAAATTTAGATATATATATATACTAATAAAGAGATGTATGTTTGACATCAATATCCTCGTTAATTAAACGACAATAGTATCGTATTTTGACACTAAAGTAGACATAAATACTAATATATATAGAGTTTATGTAACTTTTATTTGTATTTTCTATATAATGTCATTGTATTTATCCAAATGTCACACAAATTGACATTTTAATAGCAAGTCTTTTATTTAAATGCTGTTTTGTTTTTGTTGTAAATGCAATGTTTTTGTTGTAAAAAAAATTATTGTATAGAATATACTGTATATTTAATAATATGTTAATTCATATAAGAATTTAATATAAAATATTTAAAATAATTTTATTATTTTTTAATTAAATTTCTGTTGCATTACTAATGTTATTTACACCAATTGGCGTGAATTGCAAATAATTTTCACATAATGATATACATATAAAGAAAATTCAATTTATTTTATTTAAAAATCAATAAATCGATTGTACAGTATTTTTGACGTAAAATACATATTCAATAAACATGTGTGAATGTGAATGTATATGTGTGTGTGTTTGTGTTTGTGTGTATGAGTCAGTGAATGTGTATATATTATATTATATGTAGTAGTAGTAGTAGTAGTAGTAGTAGTAGTAGTAGTAGTWGTWGTWGTAGTAGTAGTWGTWGTAGTAGTAGAGATATACATGTATAGGGAGAGAGAGAGAGAGAGAGAAAACTAAAATATCGTAGTATTAATATTAAAATACTCATACACTGCTATTTTACAGTCAAAAGTATAAATGAAAATATTTATTTGAAGCATAAAAAAGTTTTTGAATCAATTTAATACTTATGAATAATTTTGTGTATATTTTTAAAAAATCATTAAAAACTTTCAGATTATATTAACTACAAAACAATATTTCATAGTTTAATGATTTCGTTTCATGCCTTCAGAGGTAAATGAAATCATTTTTCATCAAATATATAGCACTTCATATTATAATAATATTGTACATGAATTTTGCTTAAAAGTACAATCAAAAATAGATAGTAATTATAATACTATAGATTAAACATTAACGCATACATAATTAATGCAAATAGTAATTCAGCTAATAATAATAATAATAATAATAATAATATTGCTAATATAGTATTAATATAATTATATAAAATAAAATAGTTTTGTTTAGTTTAGTTTTTGCTCTTAAATTTTGGGAATAAATTTGTGCAGAGAATTAGTAATTTGATACAAATATATGATTATTATTATTATTATTTGGGAAATGCATTGAATGCATATTAAATTGAATGAACTTTTAAAAGAGTATTATATTTGGTGATAGGGATAGAGGTATAAAAAAGATTGTATTATATTGTATGTATTATTATGTATTGAATTGTGTATTGAGTTTTCTGTATAGAAATGACATCAAAAAGAGATGATTTGGGAAATGGATGGCATAGTAGTCATGGGTAGTCATAGTCATCACTGGAAAACGTCTTTTATTTCATATATTATTGATTTGCTTCTCAATTATTACCAGTTATATACAACATATAACCAATGAAAAGAGACAGTTATGGAAATGAAAGTGGGTGAGTGGGTGAGTGAGTAAGTAAGTACGTGACAGAGAAAAGAGAAAGATAGCGAGAGAGAGAGAGAGAGAGAGAGAGAGAGAGAGAGAGAGAGAGAGATGACTGAGAGAAAGAGAGCGGAAATGACAAACCCATTCATTACACGATTCATACTATCATATGATAGGCTTACTATATATTTGTGAAATATTTTGCTGAGAAATAGTAACTCTTGTCTTAAATACCGAATTATTTGCTGAGTTGTAGAGCATTAAGGATGTTATTGATGACATGAGATCTTCATCATTATCCCACTCTTATATATGTTTTTCTCTTTTGATCCCCGGTTTTGATTGACATTTGTAACATATATCAAAAATTATTTAAAACATTTTTTTGCAAATTGTTTTATTTAAGATTAAATTCTGAATAAATTGATAATATTTAAGATAATTTTGATATTTATTATTTAAAAATCATTACAATCAATGATTACATATTTATAATCCGCAAATAAAAATATTATATAATTCTGGGTTTCTTTAGCTAAATTAGTTTGCTTTATGATACCAATGACATACATTACAACTACTTTAGATACGGAGGAAATTATAATTATAGATAAAATTAATATTACTGTAGGCATTGTATTAGATAATAATAATATATTTTTATAATGTATTAGTCGAATTTGTTAATTAAATGAGGTATAGTATATTTATATATATTTATATACCGTATATAGTAGTATCTTATATGTATTGTACATGTATTTTATATAATTCAAATGGTTTATGTCATGTAATACTGTGTCATACGATAACAAATACAATATTAAATATTCAATTGTAGAACATTAGTCAGTACTAGAGTTACCAATTTTTATTACAGAATTTCTGTATTTTAGAAATCATGGGCTAAATAACTTTTATTTTTTATATTAAATTGTAAAAATTAAATGTTTTATAAAACTAGTAAAGAATATATAATGTTTAATATTGTATTATAAAACATAAATATACAGTAAGTAAAAATATTTATATGAAAATTTAATTTTTATACTATTAATACATCTATATTTGCATCCGTATTTTAATATAAATTGAATTTTATACAATTTATAAACTTTAATTAAATATTTTGACTATCAATTAAATAAATAAATACTAATTTAGTTATTTAAAGTTTGATATGCTATGCGTATAGTCGGCACCACATTTGACTCCCGTTATCTATGTGTGCGCGCTCTGCGCTGGAGTGATGACAGTAGTCATCCAACAATCGATACKATAAGAAGTGAATCAATTTTTTTTAAAACAAAAATCTTTTTAATTTTTTTCATATAATTGTGTTGTTATTTGATTTCCATTTACTACCGAAACCCGATCTATTCATTTCTGGCCAACCACTCAATTGGCGCAGTCGTCTACATAACAAACYAACGCTTAATATCGGTACTATTAACGAAAGCACACTTCAGCACAAGGTTTGTATGCATTGATGGAGAAGCCATCTTACAGTATATATATATATATATAGTATATTGTATGTACAGTAATGCATGTAAATGTTGTAATATTGTATTGATGTATAAAAAATTATACAGAATATGAATTTTGAAAATAATATATAAAACTGCGTTTAAAAAGCTAGTGGTCAGCACTCGCCTACCGGACCAATGGGTACAGTACTGAGTATATCTCCGAGGGATCGGAAGATCGTTATGTATAACGACGCGACTATTGAACCAAATAATGGCTTCAATTTGAATGCATTCGCGTATTCGGAACATATGAATAATGTGAAGAATAAATCAATTAAAAGCAATGGCTTTATGTCTAACATCGAGAATAATAAGAATCTCTTTAATCACAATCACTCACATAATATTGTTACCAATAATAACAATATTAATAATAATAATAATAATAATAATAATAATATCAACAATACTACTAATAATAATCATAATAATAATAATCAAAGTCATGGCGGGCTTAAGAAGTCACTCGGATTTATTAATGCTTTACATTTTGGAAAACATTTCAATATTAGTCGAGATAAGAAAAAACCTGAGAAAAACAAGAATATACTTTTACAACAACAACATCAACAACAACAGCAACAACTTCAACAACAACTACAACAACAACTTCAACAACAAAATATCAATAACAAGCAGTTGGAAAATACCAATAATTTAGGCGATATTAACAACAGGAATATACAGAAATCATTGTCCTGTTATAACCTGAAATCAGGAGTCACCACAAACAACATCGAAATCGTTAAAAACATCAACAAAGATGTTTGTCCTCCAAACCAGACCAGTGGCAAACAGGTCGCCCCTCCACTGCCTCCGAAGCCCACCATATTGTTGTCAAAGAACGCCATTAGGCCGACATGTAATGTGATCAGCGCTGGCCTAACAAATCATATTAAAAACGGTATAACACTTACCAATAATGTGTCGACACTGTCAACGCAAATCAGTCCCACAAGCAATCAAAGGAAAACAGTCATTCAAGTGAGTCTTTAATATTTTATTTTAATACTCAAATACATACATAATATAAGGAGAGTTATCCGTCAAACTATTGTATATATATATATGACTGGTATTATAAACAGTCATTCCGTGTGTTCTTCAATTCCCATCTCTCATCTCTTTTATTATCATTTCCAATAAAATCGTTAGCCGAGTATCGCATGAAATTAAGAGTAAAACCCATTTATTTTCATATATTATTTATATTTTGTTTATTCATACAATTCATTTCAATAGTTGTGCTAAATTGTTGTATCTGTCATAAACAGTAGTTTTATTTATTAATAATTACAAAATTACATACAATTTATCAATAGGATCTTTATTTTAGCTAAACATTGAAAAGCAATTATGTTGATAGTATTGACAAATGATAAATAATGATAAATGTAATTATAGAAAATAACATATCATATATAACAGTTTTAAAAATATATCATAATAAAAAATATTAAAATTTGTATTTTTTTAAGTTTATACATTATTTACTATTAACTGTAATATTTACGAGAAATATAATATCTTAATGAATGCTATAAAAACAATTTTATAAATTATTTTTTATGACAAAAATTGAATTAAATATTGATTAGAAGTCTCTTGTTTGATATAAACCTTATGGATTGAGTCTAAAGATATTATATAATACAGTATATAATAGTCAGACAATACCAGTAAAGCCTTAGCAGAAAGTCATCTCTTTTTCAATGTTGAATATATGGGAGGTCTGGCATTGATTGCCACTCTTTATGACTCATACGATATAATGAGAAACACTACTACTCTCTATAGCTTTTACTCCACTCTTTTGATTACAATCTCCTAAAACTAAGTGTCTTTAAGTTTATAATATTTTTTTTATTATTTTGTAATATTTTACAATTTATTTTGTAATGAATTTTTCTCACACACTATAAGATAACGATATTATAAGTTTATATTTTTTAATCAGTGAATGACATTAAAGTCGACAATATTAAAATTGTTTTTAGTTGTAAAATATGAAGAAATTTTTTTTCAGTTAATTGAATGGGATTTTTATAAAACTGGAGTATATATTACACATACAATACAAATATGAATTACTTATGTTAGACATTACATTATGTAATCTCGTGCTTGACATCAAAGTGCTGTTAGATTTTTTTAAAACCAAAATTTTCAAATAATGTATTGATTTTATAGTAAAAATAACAGATTTTATGGTGTTTTTCGTTATTATTAAACTTTCTAATGGATTACATGACACCTTATAAAATCCCAATACAAGGCTTTTATTTTGTTGACTGTGTGCCCACACATTACATTGATTTTTGTGCCGTTATTTTTGCTGCCAAATCCTATTTGCAAAACAGGTATAAAGAATTCATCCATCCATTGGTATTCCTTACATACAAACCTGACTATCATTTATATAATTGTTTTGTTTTTATTTTTTTTATTTGCTTTTGGCTGACAGTTATGTCTTCATATATTATATGAAAATAGTTTTTTAAGTCAACTGTAATAGTAATATAATATTATATTATATTAACACAATGTGATTAAATATTATTATTTATATTTCTATAAATCTTATTTTATTGACAATTTTATATATAATTCCGACATTTAAAGGCTATCTAGTGTTACTCATATTATATAAACAATTAAACTGTTTTTATCAATAAAACAATTTAGATATGTTTACACACAATAAATACATACATAACTTTATARTTTTAGTAACTTATAATATATCGTATAATTAGATCTAAATTATACAGAAAACATTTAATAAATAGTCAACTTAATATCATAAGGCATATGAAAAATATAAATATAAATAAAGTCATAAGGGTTGTAATATGTATTATACTTTAAAATGATACAGTAGATATGGCAATGCCATTAATTTTATATAATACACAATACAGTATATACCAGTATATATATATATATATATAGTATTTGGAAAATTATAGAAAAATTGTAGAAAAATTGTTAAAATAAATTATAGCTTAAGTTTTTTTTTKGATGGAAATCTATAATACAGTGAAAATGTTATAATAAAGAGTATACAAAATGATGAATACAATTGAAATGAAAGCCTACAATAGCTTTCAAAAGCACAACGAAATCTCATATAATTTATAACTATTACATCTTTTTTGACATTAAGTAAAAACAAAAATAATTATATTTGTATTAAAGACATCTCACATTTATTATTTTTATATATAATTAATATTTAGTTATTTTATATGTAATTAATCACTAAATGACACAATTTTGATATATCAGCATTTTTACCAATAAAACACATTTTCATTGAGCACTTTGGAAATTGGGGCACAAGTTTTATTTGCCATTTAATATAGTAATATACTCATCAAGTATTAAGCATTAAAAAATAAGAAAAATCAATAAAACATTTATTTAAATATCAAATGCATAGAAAGTTAGTATTGATTTTTAAGTTTATTGTTTTTATTTGTTTAAACCAATTATAGGCATCAACTTCCGAGTTATTGAGATGTTTGGGTGATTTCTTGGCCAACAAATGTCACAAATTGAAGAACTTTCAGTCTGGAGATGCCGTCATATGGCTCAGGGCTGTTGATAGATCACTGCTGTTACAGGGCTGGCAGGTAAGCACTTACTCAACACATTTATTATACTACACATTGTATAAGAAAAACTATATAATATTATACAGTACTATAAGATATCATATACAGTATATAATATGCAACTATATTATATACAATTAGTTTAAGGCCTGACATTAATTAATATAAACTACTTATGCTGAAGAAATTAAAAGCAAAAACAAATAAATAGTGTTCACAACAATTAATTTGAGAGTAAATTTAATAATGTTAACAACAGTTTCAATCATTATCATCAAAAACAATCAAATTACTAACCAATTGACTGTCAATTACAAAACAGTGCACTTATAAAACACTTATAACATCTAATGTCTTGTATATAATATATATATATTTCATTAACTGTTATTTTCTTTATTGAATTTAAGACAGTTTGTGACAACAGTTATATTATATTTTTGTTGTACTTGACTATCATTTTTCAGAAATTATATCTATACGTTTCACACTTGTATAACATTTTAGTCCATTAATTAATATATCGATTTTTTTTTGTATTTAACTCTTTGATTTTGATAGGATATTGCATTCATAAATCCGGCAAATGTTGTCTTTCTATATATGCTTTTACGAGAACTGGTTCAGGAGGATGTCGACAATGAGAAAGAGCTACAAGCAGTGGTACTTACTTGTCTGTACCTGAGCTACGCCTATATGGGTAATGAGATCTCATATCCATTGAAGCCGTTTCTCGTGGAAAACGAAAGTCGCGACAAGTTTTGGAACCGATCCCTGTTTATCATTAATTTGCTCAGTAGTAAAATGTTGAAAATCAATAGCGAACCGGCCTTTTTCACCGAAATATTTACAGAACTTAAGGGATGTCAACCATTGGTAGCTCCAGTTTCCGGTTAAACCACATAACTAGTCTAATTGTTAGCTTTTCTCAAACACTCAATGATGATGAAGTCCCGCAAAAATATATATAATTCAACCGATACTCTCAACAACAAAAAATGCAGAAGCAATTGATTGATTGATTTAATCAAAACAAATACTCAAAACAATGTAAAACAAATTACTTAATTTTAAAATAACTGATCGAAGAAAGTAATGGTTTGTTAAAATATATTTTTTATTTTTCTGTCACTAAATACAAAAAAAATGATTACACAAATCAATTTAATTGTTACAATATTATAAATATTATTGATATTATGAATATATAATTAATTGATTAATGAAATATTTGTGAGATTAGAGTTCAAAATTGATTTGAGAAAAGATTTTTACAAAAAATAATAATATTATTATTAATAACATAATTTGGTACCAAATCATTTTGGTGTCTCATTATGGATATATAACTGATGCCAAATAATAGATTTAAATTTATTATTATTATTACTATTATTATAAATACAGTAATTATATTGTAATATATAGTGAAAGAGCTCAACAAACGTACAGATATATAAATTATATATATATATATATACTGTATATAAAACAGTACTCTATTATTATTATTAATATTATAGTGATGTCATAAGCAATTACATAAAAAAATTGATATAAAAAATCACACACTTGTCCTCAAAAAATATCTATATATAAGCAAAAAATAACATTGTTTTCATCGTACAAATTATTGATCTCTAGTTGTATTGCATTTTCATTATTATTTCTTGTGATTAAATTTATTATTATTATTATGATTATTACTATCGGTTTAGTATCCATATAATTACAATATATTTATTTGTCATAAAAACAGCAAAACAATTGTATAAACTGTTATACAGTATATCTATAGACTATTGGTTATGAATAGTGAGGAACTAAACTGAATTGAAAATAATTTATTGTAATAACTTCAACGATAATCTATTTAATGGGTGACATACCATAGCATACCATTTATTGATGATAATGTTGATACTGTACTTTGTTATATACTATGMGAGCGTGACAGTCACAACCAACTGTCCTTTTAAATACTATATGATATATATTGTGATTCATTCAAACAATGACTAGTCTTATGATTAGGGGATTCACTGGTAACTCATATGATAAAACAATTGAATATTTCGATGACTACACAATACACTAACCATCGCTATCTCGCAATTTCTGGCAGTAATAGTAGTAGTAGTAGTGATGATATAACGAATAAGTCCTCTACTTATTGTGTGCATTATATTGTGAGTCATAGCTCATACCAGTCATACCATTGAGGGCACGGGTCTAAAGGCGCTGATGAATGACATAAATGTATTGTTTGGATGTGTTGGTTATGTATACGAAAAATACTTGTGCCGATCCAAAATAGATCCACTTTAATGGTTCAATGCATTGAATTTAGTGAAATACCCGATCCCTTTATGAGAAGCCTTTTGCCAAACATAGGGTTCTGAGCTCAAGGAGGAGGCAAAAGACAATAGCCTTTAGTCAGGCATTACTTTCGCTATAAATACAATAAAAGGGATTTTTATTTGTAGATAAAATCAGACCTACCATAGTATGGTACCAACTCATTCAAGATATACTAACTGTTCATTTATTAGCCATAAAACCAAATTCTATACTAAATAATAGGACAAATTCAATGTTTAGCTAATAGATAATTATATATCGAAGACCAACAAATAGTTACACACAAATGTATACAAATTAATTGCAAAATCAGTGCACTTATGACCAGAGAAACAAAAAAAAAAGTTTACAATAAATAAATGATATTATAGTTAATAAATTATAATCCCAAGCATACAGATAAATTTGTTATGCATTTTTATGATACAATAGTAGACATTAATCACTGATCTATTAATTAATCCATTTGTTTGTTGGTTACAAAAAAAACCGATGAATTAAATTCAATGCAATTCCGCTCTCATTTTGAATTCAAGGCTCCGATCAATATCTGTCTCATAGTTATTATATACCAAACAAAGCAAAAATAGTGTTATAGCGACCAATAAATTTGTTATTCAATTAATTGTCAACTATTTATTTGCACTAAGTTATGAAAAATTGTTAATTTTGTTAAATTTATGATAAATTATGAAATGCAATACACTTTTTATTATAATTTTGTTAACTATACTTAAAAGTAAATAATTATTTTTGTTCTAATTGTTGTTTGGTTTATCGTTTTTTATAATCCTGTCAATCAATCTTTTAATAATAATAACTAATACACAAAGCTTTTAATTGTTTGTCAATTTCAATATTATATAATATGTATATTTTTATTGATAGTTCATAGATATCTTTTGCTAAAAACTGACTAAACAAACAAATTGAAAACAAAATTAGTTTGTAAACCTTTTTATTATTATTAAACAATACTAAACATATAAATGTTTTTATAGCAAAATTATTATTTATATAAATTTAACAAAGAAATCTTTATATTATTTAATTACATGAAATTTTTCTTATGTTTTAAGTCATAAATGTGATTGTAATTGTAATTAGCAATTAATTTAATAATTAGTAACAAAAGTCAATAAATACTTTATACTATATTTCGCGTGAAGTAATCAATTAATTAATATTAGTTATATATTATACAAACTTTATATGCGGCCAATAAGTACTTAAAATAAAAATTATTGTAATATAGTTTGAAAATGTGAAAATTAAATTATTGTATATAATTTTAATGATTTAACTATTTTCAACACTTTTTAATCTAATAAACACTAAAATCATTAAAAACTATTATTTTTATTATTTTTATTGTTGTTTTTGTAAAAATTGTAACAAACCCTTTATTGTCTAAAAAATATAGTTTACTGAGTTTTTTTGTATACAAAAAAATGGTTATTGCGTAACAAAAGATTTAATTAAAAATATATTATAATTTTCATATAAAATAATATTAATATTAACAATATTGCAGTTATATTATTGAAAACTTTTTCCTCTCGAATAAAAGAGTTAATCCATTAATTTGTTATATAATCTACAAATAAAATATAGTCGAAGATCTGAGAAAATAATTGATTTTTCTGTTAAACAAAATCTAATTTTCTCTAAATTAAAATCTGTTTTCTTTATCTAAAAAACCTATTTGTCTTTTTACGTGAATTATCATCTAAGAAATGTTTCGTTAAAATTGTTTTTTTTCTCACAATATTTTTACAGCTTTTTTGAAATCTCAGAATATTAATGATATTAACTATTGTTTTGAAAGCAAATCTGCATCTAATGTGCTTTAAGATGTGTTTTATTTTATTTTCCAACATTTAATTCATATAATTATATTATGTGTAAAAAATAACTATAATTTTGCGGATTCAGTTTACGACAAAAATCACTCAAATTTTGAATAAATTATTGCAAACATCTATTATTTGAATCACTTTGTTATTATATTTGTATCGTGTAGTGTATATCATCTGTTATTTTATTTTATTTTTATTTATATATTGTTTACTATAATATTTCACACAAATGTCTGTAAACAGTGTTAGAAATAATAAAAAGATAATAGCATTTTAACAGACAAAAATTTCAACGATTTTTTATAGTTATTTTTCAGTAATATTTACTTAATTTACATTACAATTCATAAATGTTTAATACATTTTGACATTCAATGTAATTGAATTGGATAATCAAATTGACTTTATTTGTTTCATATTTATGTTTGTGCTTATATATATGTATATATATAATTTAATAATACTTGAATTTGAATTGAAAATTGTATTTGTTTAAACAGTTTCATAATAATTTAAACCATAATTTTTACTATAACTTCAACTCAGCATTAAAATTAAAACGTAAACACAATTACAATTTTAGTGTATATTTTTTAATATTTAAATATTTTCATATTATTTTCACATTGAAATGTATGCGTCTAATACTATTATCCGATGGATTTTATGCTAAATTAATTKACAAAATAATTCATTAAATATTAATAATATATTTCAAATGATATTTGACCACAAAATCCGATTATTGAAATCATAAGAATATTTAAGAATATTTTCATCCGATGTAACAGAGAATTCAATGTTAAATAATATATAAAATCGAGAAATAACTCAAAAATAATTCATTGCTTTTATCGATTGAATGGATTCCGCGGAGAATATAATGCATTGCTTTTAGTCAACGAATCACAACTCTCTTTCTTCTCTCTCTCTCTCTCTCTCTCTCTCTCTCTCTCTCTCTCTCTYTCTCTCTCATCATTATGACTCACTCTGATTCTCTTTCTCTCTTTCTTTCTATAAGCCTTCTCTAACCTCCCTTTATTTAATGCCTACACATTTGCAATCCATTGAACTTCAAACGTTTTTCTTATCTCTCTCTCTCTCTCTCTCTCTCTCTCTCTGTCTCTCTCTGTCTCTCTCTGTCTCTCTCTGTCTCTCTCTGTCTCTCTCTGTCTCTSTCTCTSTCTCTCTCTCTCTCTCTCTCTCTCTCTCTTTTCTTTCTCAGTCTCTCTCGACTTCACAAATAAATAATTGAAAAATAGTAAGCAATAAATGCATTTTCAATAAGCTTTAAAAACTCAAAAAATGATAGCACACACACATATATGTATATATATAGAAATGCTTTTGCTAGAATGAATCATTGATATCGATGTACTGAAAGTAATATAGTTTTCAATCATTTAGTGGATTATAAATTCTCGGTTAATGTAAGGACAGTTAGACATTTGGATATTATGTTTAGTGGAAAAAGATATACACAAATCAATAAATTAATGAACGAAACTCAGAGTCAAAGCTAAACGTTATAACTGCTAATAAAATGAATGATTACAGCGCTAGTGGACAGTCGTGTTAAGGCCCGTCACACCAGAATATAATTAACAGTAGTCTATAATGTAATGGATAGTCTCTAGAGACTACATTTGTACCAACCATTACTGTATTACTTTCCAGAACATTGATAGTCATATAATTTACATTTGCATTACAATTCTCTATTATAACTAATTTTATGTCTCATTTTAATAATAATAACATATATAAACTTATTTCACATCATTTATATAATACAAAATTATTCTAAAACAAGAATATTGACGATTTTAACCACAAAATTATTATTATTATAATCATTACTATTAAAGTTATTTTCATAATAACAAGTCGACTGATTTTTGTCAAAAAAATATCAAACTATTATTTTTAGTGTACAAAACATTTAACTATATAAGCAAATGACTATCCTTTTATAAAATAGTATATATAAAGTAATTTATTATTTATAAATTAAAATGTAATATTTAGATGAAGATATTCATATGTTTGTGATAAATAAATTATTTGGTATTTTATATACAGTAATGCAATTAAATTGTGAATTTTATACAATAATTACACTATTAATTACTGGCTTCAAAAGTCAAAATTATTTTAATTGCTTGAAAACATATTTGTAAACTTTATTCATTTATGTCAAAATATGTCTAAAATTTAGTTATATTTTACAATAATATGTTTTTAAAATATTATTTTTAGATAAAGAAGACAGACATTTTAATAATTAAACAGTTTTTACTTAAAATCTAATCTCATCAAAATTAGGTTTTAAAGTAATTAAATTGAATGATAAAAAATTTTTGAGTTTATAAATGAACAAACATTTCTGGAGAAAATTAAGTGAATTCAAAATATAACTGCAAATAAATTATTTTTTTATAAAAACTTATTATTAGTTATAAATTCATACCATTATAACTACAGTAATAAACCGTAAAATTATTCACATCTCAGTTGTCTTTCAAATGTAAAACAAAATTACTTGAGTTTATATATGAAATCATATTTTTAGAGTTATTTCCCAAATGTAATATTTTTAAGAAATTATAAAAACAATTTAAATCGATGTCTCAATTTCTAATATATAAAAAATCTTATAAATTTATATCTTTTAAAAATTAAGAAATTGTGAATTACTTTTTTTTTGGTTATTTAAAAAAATAAATATATCATTAAATCTCATTTGTTAAACATATACATCATTACCGTAATCAGTATTAAAATATAATTATATATATATATATATATATACAGTATATATATATATATTATTTAATTAGTCATATTATTTAGTAAACTAAATGCCATTTGAATGCTGGGCTATTAGTGCAATGAATTTGTATATAAWACAATAAAAATAAAAAACGAAATATTAGAACAAAAGTACTATTTATCAATAATTTCTTATATAACTTGTAATTAGTTTATAAATATATATAATCTTTATTAATATTATATAATTTATAAATGTATAAAATTATATTATATAACTAAGCTATCAAAAAGAATTTCTGTATCATTTTGAAAATTTAATTATTTATTTTTTATTTTATAAAAACACCTAATTGTAAGTTTTAAATAAGGTTAAATAATAAAATAAAAATAGTTTGTATTAAATAAAATTTAAAAAAATACATTTTGTAACTTCTATTATTCTCGTACTCATARAAAATAATAATAATTAATATTCAAATCATATTCAAAAATTAGTAAGTGATAATATATTTTGTATAATTTGAAAGGAAATAAAATAAAAATTTAATTTATAAATTAATTTATGAATACTCGTAAATGAGTAATCATACATTATATAATGTACGGTAATTTAATTGTATTATAAATATATATAAATTATTATTAATATCACATTCCCAGTGTGTTTCAATTACCGGTACACTACTGGATGTTAATTAAATTACTGGTAATTTGTTATTTTTAAACAAAAATTCATTTAAAAAAGATTATTTTTTTCACAAAATATGTTAATTTTAATCAATTTAATGAAAAAAGAAAATAATAATTAATAATACAATCATTTTTTTTTTGAAAAATAGTCGACTATTACGACAGTTTTTTCGCTTTTTGATACAACGAGTCGACTACTTTACCCATATTTTGTAGCGTTTCTAACGCCGATTCGTATGTCTTATCGGAAGGACTGTCCTCAAARATGATAAGAACAGCCTCTCCCTGATCTAGAATACCGCTGAACTTTTTGTCTAAAATCATTTGTGATAACTTCTTCTCAACCGTATCTCGAGGTAAGCGTATTAAACTAGAGATGTGGTCCACCTTTCAAACAAATAGTATAAAACAATTCAATAATATATTCAATATATAGATATAATCAAAACACAGTAATACCTGTACTCTAGAATAGGGTTCAATAATACGGCACAGGTTTTGCTCCAACATGTTGTCATAAAGTGACTTTAARTGGGAGTTAATGATAGGGTCGTCGACTAATTCTGCTTTGTATGTCTTGAGCGCCTCCTGGAAGTCAGCCAAAGAGCGCTTATGAGATGCATTGGCTATTGCTTTGAGGGCTTCGATGTCTTTTCCCGCATATTTGAGGGCTAGTTTACCGATGGTTATGGACTGTACATCTTCGGCTCTATTAATACATTTTAAAACACCAATAAATTAACAATTGAGTCAACAATGCCATCAATTATTACAATTGTTGGCATAAGATAAACAATTTTAAAWTAGTCTATAAATAGAAACATAATTTTGTCATTTGAGCCAACATTTTATATTTTTTATGTGATTTCGTCACTCTATGAAACTCTTTAAAGAAATATTATAAATTAAACTMATAATTATAATCTTAGATTAATTGGCTAATTATGAAACAATGTTTAAACAGTTTTTGGAGATTTGGACAATAATTTCGATGAAAAAAAATAAACAAAATATTGGCTCAAATGAGTGCAAAGACACTAAAAAAGATTTGACGTACAGATTAAGCATAATCTTCGAGAGCAACATATATTTCAGTGCAATGACAGCCTTCGGTGAGTCGACAGAATCGTAACCTTCGAAGGCTTCGTAATAGTAACTGAAGGCAGTTTTGAAGTCACGTTCGTCGGCCGCATGAAGTATACCCGACTGTAGGTCGAGCGCCGCCTGCATTTTGGGCGGACAGTAGATGGCATTAGCAGTAGTTCGGGCACTGGTCAATGCCGCCCGAGCTCGCGGTAAGTTACTAAGCGCGTGATATGTCTTCGACTCTAAGAGCTGAACATCAACCAACAGATTCTTGTCATCCATTTTCTTCAATTCGCGTAATAGTTGTGATCCTAACTGAAGAGCCGAGTCGTACTGTTTGGTGTCGTAATACAGAGCTATGAGTCGGCCCTCAAGTGATTGTCTAAGAAATGTTCGCTTCTCTTGTTTGGCCCAATCTATACAATCCAAACATAACTGCACTTCGAGTCCTGTTTTGGTTTCCATATCGAGAAACAGGTCCACCAATTGACGCACCAGTTTCGCTGCTTTTGCTTTTGATATTCTGTTTAAAAATGGACGAACACTTCGGATCAAATCAGCCAATTCTGAAGACAATAATAAAGAGTCAATTATTACATCAAATATTTTAAGACATTAATAGTTACGACAAACCGTTGGCCTTTCCGTTGCGACTCATTTCCAGTCCTTTTTCAATAATATTCGATTCCTTTTGTCGAACCGATTCTTCGTCGTCCATCTGTTCGTTGTTGTCTAAGAGGAAGAAAATCACAAATAAAAACAAATAAATTAATCAACGGATCAAATGAAGATCAAAACAATTTTGTTAATTAACAACTGACTCAATTGGTTGTGATTTAGAGAGAACTTGTTGTTCTTGTTTTGATTCTTATGGATATCATATCCATCAGTATTGTCGACAATCATAGCGGTTGCCATTTGTATTGTCTTTAGCTATCAATTGACGATTCAATCGGTGTTTTAAACTTCAGATTTCAATCCGACTCTTATGTCATACGACTCGAGGCATGACTTGACATAAAACTCCATTTCTATCCAAACGTATCATTCAAAACATATATAACATAATCAATACTTCACTTAATTTGTGTCCCCTTTTTGTTGCATTCATTCGGTCTAATCGTTGAAAATACCCAAACATTTTAAATAAATAAAAAACTAGTTTTGAAAAAGTGTAACGTTTTATATGTATTGTCCTTAAGTTTAAAATACTTTTATCTGTCGATTAAAAACCACACAAATATTAAGTTACACATTAAATGTGTGTTAGAGTTGACTATTCATTGAATAATACATTGAATTTGTTTTATTCAATGAATTGTGTATTCATTTGGGAACTAAATGTTTGTACAAAATAATTGTCGGCAAAAACTATATGACGTTAAGTATTGTATTATATTTTATATGACTTGACATTAGAGGCGACACCTAATGGGTTGACAACCAATGGGTTGACTCTTAGGCAAAGTTTTTTAGACATAAATCAAAAACTTTTCATTTTTTTTGAAATTTTTTTCCTCATTAATATTGATAACACATTTTTGCTAATCAATTGGTTAAACGGCTACTGTTTGCCAATGAATTGATTATATATAAGTAAAAGTAATTATTATTAAAAAGAAAATTTTAAAAAATATATTTGTATAATAAAATTATGATTATTTTATATTCTATTGAAAAATAAGTTAATTTAATTTTATGTTTATTTATATGTATAAATTGATAATATATAAAAAAATATGCATAAAATAAGTGCAAAATTCAAGGACTTTTATCATAAATTGTTTTATTTCATTTAAAATACAATATTTTTATAAATAATTAAATTATATTCAATGAAAAATAAAAATTATTATTTTACTATTATTTTGATAATTTTACGCAAAATTTATTTCTATAATAAATCGTAAATTTAAAGTAATTTTTGGTATTTAGCAATAAAATTGCTTTTTATAATTATTGTGACTGTAATTAATGTCTGTAATAATAATAATAAATGTGTTATCATATGGTTTATCATATATTAGCCATCGGTTGCTATCATCAGTTGGAAAATGCAAAGGAAGGAAAAAGTCTGCAAAAGATAAGCAATGATTGCATTGAACTTCAAATAATGCCGTTTAGTATTATTATTACTATTATAGATGTTTTTGTGAGATTTTGTATCTCTATTGAGAGAGACATATATATATGTAGATATATATAGTATGTAGGTATATATATATATATATATATAGAGAGAGAGAGAGAGAGAGAGAGACTCAATGAGAGAGACAGTGAAACACACAGAGGAGATATATTTACTAATAATTAGTTGCGTTTTGAGTGAACCTTTCAATAGCTATTATAGGCGACTCTCTTTCTGTTCTCCAATACTATCCTATGTGTCCATCAAACGACCGACGACTAGACGACAATACAGGCGCTGATAGGATACCATATATATAAGCCATTTATATGGATGTATGTCTGTAAAGGCAGATGTTTTCCGCACAAATAGTCAATAGGCGCCCAAAAAATGAGATAATAATCAATATATGAATTGTATAGACAAATATTAATATATGTAATGTACTTTTATTACTCTCTCTCTCTCTCTCTTTCTCTCTTTCGTGTCTCTCRTGAAACAAAATCTTTTCTCTAACTTTTTTTTGAGTTTATTTCCCAACAATTTTGATGATCAAGAACTATATAGTAGTGGTTCTGAAACCAGACATATATATAAAAGTATGAAATAAAATAAAAAGTAAGAAATCATTAAATATGAGGCAAAAAGCGGTGAATTGGTTATCAATAAGAGAGACATAAGAAATTTGAGAGAGAAGTCGTGATCCAATGTTTGGTAATGTTTTGAAAGTTTTAATGTTTTTTCTGTGCTTTCAATATAAACAAATGTATATATAATCATAGATAATAGCATTGTGTGGTACAGTGACATCACTGTAATAACTAGTCTTACTTGTATTACTAATGATGCTTATATGCTGGTTATACACACAGAGATACACACACCGTATGAGAGCTCAGGCATATTAGAGAGAAACATACGGGACTGGTAGGCGCCTCTCATAAGTGTACGGCACTTATTAAATTGGCCGATCTAGTACTGTGATTGGCTGTAAGAGCTGAACTGTTTTTAGGCCGACTCTCATTTGGTTGTCTGGTTTTGCCTTAAACAGCACTTCCATCTCATAATGATTTGCCTTTCCCGGCGCTCACACACCGTATCTCTAATTTTGAGTCAATTTTCAAAAGCTAGAGAACAGAAAGTTTTTTTTTTAAAGTAGTGCTGTATTCACATTGAAATTACTTTTTATTGAGGGTTTCGCTTATTTAAGAGATTTTACTGATGATAATCACTGAGTAAATGCAATATAAAGAGAGAGTCGAGTGACTGCTTCAGCAGTTGTATAAACTGTATCTCCAAACCAATGCCAATCATTTTAAGGACAGACATCCCGAGTGTATGATTCACTGATTCAATAGAGAATCCGGAGCTCTGAGCTCAACATTAATGCTAAACTTAGCACAAGTTTGCACACAACTAACCATCGGAGGAGCGATTGCTCCCAACATTTAAATTTAGTTATGAAATGGTCTATATTTTTCATGTTTTGCCTCCAACTCATTGATTCATATTTATGTAAGTTTTTTATTATTTTTTACTTAATTTTTATTTTTACTAAAATTCTTAATGTTTTACATAGTTTTTATTTATCATAAACTATGAAAATTAAGAACAATTTTGAACTTAAGATAAAATATTTAACTTTTTATTTATAATTTTAAAACTTATTATATATTTATTCAAAGCTATTTCCAAATTTTTGTTTCTAAACTTTTGATTTATTCAACTAATGATTTGTTTTAACAAACTTATAGGTGATATCCGGTGTCAATGTAATCTTCCACAATGTGTTAGAACTGGCTATATGTGCAAATCTACTGGTGCTTCGGCCGCCTGTTTTTCAGAAGTCACATCCAATGTGAACAACGATGCCATTAGTGAACAGATCTCACGTCACGGATGTATTGAATTACTTGCACCACACATGAGACACATGTGTATCCATCACAACAGTGTTTCAACTGCTGGTATTGCCGTCGATACGGGAACTCCGCTACAAATACTGGAGGCGCCCACTCTAGCAGGCCATAGCCATAACCAGTTACATCATAACCATCATCGTAATCATAATCACCACAATAATAATAATAATGTGACAATTGTGTGTTGTTTTGAGGATATGTGCAATTATGTCAAAAGTACTGAAACCATCACCAAACCTATCACTAGAAACAGTGACACCAAATTAGGTATGCAATCATTAAATACAATTTTGTTAATTTTTTTAGCCATATATTTGATTACTTTAACCTWTTATAACTTAAATTAATATATTTTACAATAGTTTTCACTTTCATAAAGTTTGCATCACACTTAAATTAACGTTTATATTATGTTTTTAAATAATCCATTCAATAAACAATACAATTGATATAATCTAATCAAATATTGTAATCCGGGTACTTTGATCCCAAAATTTAATATTATTAATTGCACTTAAATAATGCATTAAAATTATCTTCAAATAATATAATTTAAATGATTAAAACAGGTTTATGATGATTGAATGTAACATTTCAAAAATGATAATATATTTTTATGCCGCTCGGATTATCTTTAAATATATAAACAATTTTCAATTTTATTAGTTTTAAAATTGAAATATACATTGCATTAAGCAAATATTTTGGCATAGACCCATAATGTTATGGTCCCTATCTACTGGTCCAATATACTGTAGAATATACAGTATATACAGCACTCATAGCCCTGTGCTGTTTGCATACCACGATGATTATGGTTTGCTTATCTCAATCTCTATGCGGCGCCAATAATCCTCACCCATTAGGGAGAGAGAGAGAGCACTGGTTTTACAGTGTTTTGTTTTACTTATGTTTGTTTGTCATTAGATTTRGTTTATTTAGACAAACAAAACCAACAACTCATTGCCTACTACTGGATATTCAATGACATATATATATATCAAAATATTATGGAAAAACATATCTAAGCAAATCATAAATTTATTAATTAATAATAGCAGCCATAATAAAATGAATAATTAATTTTTATATAACAAAAAATAAAAATTTAGTCTATATTTTGAATGAACAAACATATAGCTATGTTAAAAGCTAGACTCTCTTTCTCTCTCTCAGTCCGTAATTACTGTTGTCTGAAAGTCAAAACTGCTTCGGGATATGATAGGAGATGTGCAGTGAATGTTTTGGCACAAAATTAGTCTATGAGTACCGGTTAGGTATGCTATCCAAGGTTGGGACAGGTTTTTCACTGGCCATTGATTGTAGGGTTGAGTTGGCAACTAAAAAATGACTGTTGAAAGCAAACTATTTTCTATGGGATGTTAACTAAATAACTTTAATATACAAACACATTATGTGTATATATATAAAAAAATGAATGCATCACTAGTGGACCCCTCACTGTATAGATCTGTCAAAACAATGAACTAATTTGTGATTAATTAAACTATATTTTCATTGAGACTCTAAATATAATCCCATGTTTTGAATGAAATCTCTCAACAGCTATGAGTTACTCAAATAACAAGACATTTAATACCAATAAAAATAGTATTTAACATTTTTATTGATCTCAATATCATAAATATTAAACTTTAAAAAATAATTTAATCCATTTATTTAATATTTTTGAATAAGTTAATAAATCTTTTTAATAATTACTTTTTATAAGGCGTTTAATATTTTTTAAAAAATACTACTCTATATTAAGTACACATATTGAGAGAAGACATTTATTATTACAAATATATTAATGTAAATATTTTGTGATATCAGAAAAAAAATATTTCCATTATCTCGCATGCGATACATAAAGCATATTCAATATTATCATAATATAATTTTCAATTCAATGGGGACTTATTATTATAAAAAAATACCGGTCCTTAACAAAGCAACACACGAGTCATTGGTCTCATAATAACAAAGCCGTCCGACATATCATATCAAAGCACACCTTTGACCCCATAGTATATCAAATACCAATTTGTGATCACTTTTTTGAAATACTATTTTAAATAATATATTTTTTACTTTMTTTAAACACAAACAAAACAGTCATTTATAGTGACATATGATATGTGTCTAAGAAAATACAGTATAGATTTTGTCAGTCGTTACATACATATACCCTCTTTTCCCACTTTCCCCCTCAAAGACTCCCYTTTTATAGGTTTTGTGTTATTTTTGTCTTATGTTTCCTCGTATTTATTTAAGATATAAATTAAGATTTTCTAAAATAATTATTTTATTAAATAATTTAATTATAAATATTAAATAATTTATTTACTCGAATTTAAACTTAATTAACTATAATATTAATATAATGAACTATATTTTAATATTATTATATCTTTTGACATAATWTTAATTTTTAAAAAAATCTAATATTAATTTCTATTATTCATTATTGATATTATTATTATTTCTAATATATTTGTTTATAATTATTTTTAGTGAGAAACCGAAACCCAACGACCAGTGCCCGTAATATACCGATGAACTCTATGTGGTTTCAGGTGACAGTAATTACTGTACCGATAGTGGCCAGCATTATACTCGTCGTACTTATATTTATGGCCACAAAAGCTTTAAGACAGGAAAACCATAAAAGACATAAAGAGTGCATCAAAAAGATTAACGTTTAAAATAGGATGTCTTATACATTGTAATCATTGTTATAAATATAACACTTGATTATTATTATTATTATTATAAAATACAATAATAATTGTACGATAAGTTAAATGCCATTTGAATGAGTAATTCTACTCCTGATAACAACATATGTTAACTTAGAAGTACAGTATGTATAATATGATTGCAATTTATATGTCATTTCACTACTAATTAATATATATACTGTTTATATATATATATATATATATATATATATATATTCAATATATAATTTACTGTACTATATATATTATATATATATGTACCGCACGACACACTCTATTCAAACAAATAACCAAATGTTAGTGTTTCAACCTTTTTTCAATGATTTATAATTATTGATATGTAATAATACTGTATAAGATAAATTTGGATACTGTATATACAGGAAATTCAGTATCTAAAAAATTAATTAAATACTATAATATTATTTAATTATAATCAATGTATAAATAAATTTTGTAATATCAGTTTAAGTTTTTAATAAGCTCTAAATAATTTCTATAAATGGATGATTATTATGATTATATATATAATGTATAATTTATTTATTATTAAATATTGAATAATTGATAAATCTTAATAAAAACTTAAACTGRTTATTACTAAATAGATATTATATATTTAATATTGTATATAATTTGTAATTATTATTAAAAAATTTATTATATGTACATTAATTATTATAAAAAAATAAGATAAAAATTTTATTACAATTAAATTAATTTATACAACTATAAATTTGTGTTTTATTTATAATTATCATTTAAAAATTAATTATAATATATTTTTATTATAAATACAATTAATGAAATTTTATACAATTTGTAAAAATTGTAAAATAAGGTAAGTATAAACATTACGGCATTTATACTTCAGTATACATTATCGGGATATTAGTTAATACAGTACATATACAGTATACACTATTATATTGATAGTAATAAAATCAAACTATTATTATCTGAAACAAAATGATTTAATACCCAATTGTGTTTACAAAACTTAAAATCTTAATGATTTATATTACAGTGTATATTAGAGAGTCTAATCTTAATTGTTGTTAAAAATAGTGTTATTACTAATCGCTAAATACCTTTACAAATATCACAAAAATATTTACCAATAGTTTCCTTCAAATATAACTAATGGCTAACCTTTGAAATAAATGTTAAAAATAGATATATTTTTATAGTAATATCATTTGCTAAATATTCATAGTTTTGGCCCAAAAAACTAAATACTATTTATATTATAATATAGCATTTGAATAGTTTTAATTGATTGACACTTATATGAGTGAATTGCTATATCTGTCTCACTCAACAAACATAAAGTTGTTTTTTCATTGAAATTAGCAGTGAATTAATGCTTTAAATAAATTAAAAACATGTTGTTATTGCTTATGGATCATACACTGGTAGTTGGGATCTATTATGACATTCAYGTTAGTAATGCCAACGCAATAACAGGGATGTAATGCCAGTGACGGCATTGAGGCATCAAAAATATAAGTTTTTGCAATCTCTTTACATGTGATATAAATACTATCTATTTATTATGTGAACTGAAAAACAAAAATATTTCTGAATATTCTCAGATGGGATGCAATCGCTTAGGGATGGGATGGCATCACATGTGATGAATCCCTTTATGTAGGACTAAATGATGTGCTCAGTCATGTAATGTACAATACATATAGTTTAGAAAATGAACACAAAAGTTCAATAATTACATTAAAAATTAATTAAAATAAACAAATTATAGTCATATTTTTAGATATATTATCAACTAATTCAGCGATTAATAAAAAATAATAATAAATATATTTTATTTTTAATTTCTTAAGTTAATTAAATATAAACTATAAGATCATTGTTTTAAATCAAATCCAATGAATAAAGTGTATGATTTTTATATGACTTAAACTGAGAGTGACGAGGGATGGGATGTTAAAGAGCACAGAAATCAGTGCATTTAGCTTATGATGACTTACGGATGAAAAATAAATTTACTTTTGATGCCAAATATGGGCGAACCAACTATTTTCAGAGCAGAATCACTTGTGAAAGACATTATTTCATCTGATTTTTCGTCACCAAATAGTCTTACTTTAACGACACAATTGCTCACTTGATTTTCAATACGATTTTTAAAATATAAGATTCAAATGTTTTTTAAGAGTCATTCAACAAAATGTCTTCTTCTGTGATAACGATGAATCTGTTGCTCTAATTATAAGCGAAGTTATTATAATAAAAAATTTTCTCAAAAATTACAGATAGTTTTAATGATAATTTTAAATAAAGTTTTTCTGAGTTTTTGATTACATAATCAATCATTTGTGATATCGCTTTACTAAACAAGAGGTGATATTTATAAGAATTGTCTTAAAACCATGACATCTGCTTGGAGTCAATTGGAACAGTTGCTCACATGCTGTGTATGTTTGGATCGKTTCCGTAATCCAAAGTTACTTCCCTGTCAGCACACGTTTTGTGGAGAGCCCTGTCTTGAAGGACTGGTCGACTACGCCMGGCGTCAGATAAAATGTCCGGAATGTAGAGCCGAACATCGGATCCCTTATAATGGGGTCCAATCTTTCCCAAACAATGTGACATTAGCTCGTTTTCTGGACCTTCACCGGGACATCACTGGTGAAGAACCGGAACCATTGCCTTCACAGATGGACAGATGTGGCGTTTGTTCTGAGAAGGCTTTCTGCGAGAAGTGCTCTCATTGTGATAAGAAAGTGTGTGAAGAATGCAAAGTAGCACATCTGGACATTTTGAAACGTGAAATCACAAGAATCAATGGTCAGATCAGACGTGGACTCACTAAGTTGACAGAACATTCTCAACAATCGGGAAGAACTTGCGATAAACTACAGACTACTAGTCGTCAGATTAGAGATGAAATTACTGAATGTGTCCGAAGAATCATCAAAGACTTGAAGGACAAGGAGGCAAAACTGTTACATGAATTGGATGAATACACACAAACTGAATCAAAAGGCGGCGAAAAAATGAAAGAAGATTTAGAGCAGGAATTGATTAATATTACCAGTAATTGTGAACTCGTCGAAAGTCATATCACTGAAAACGAAGAGTGGACTGACACAGAATTGGTTGAATATAAAGAAATATTAGTAAAAACATTGGAATTTTTGAGAAACCTGGACCCGGATACCAGTGATGTCAACAGAAAAATCAAATTTCACTATAAGAGTGACTTCGATGCTCTCAGAAGATCAGTCATCGACTTTGGAGAACTTAAGATAACGACACCAAATGTTGCACTTTCTCCATCAGAAAGCACTACAAATCTAAATTCATTGTCAGTTCCCAATCAAACTAATCTATTAAGAAGTCAAAGTGACCATCGATTGGCCGCTCAGTTCCAATCGCAAAGAAAACCAGAATCAAGATATTTGGATATAACTGGAAGTCAAAGTCGATTATCAATGCTATCACACAGTGATACTGAAAGAGACAGTAGATTAGAGCGAAATACTTCACCGACGAGACAACGATATGGTAGATATGGTCGAGATTTAGAGGATAGAGAAACAAGAAGTCGATATGATTCGGCTCTGACCAGAGGTTGGCCGCGACCTTCAGATAATGACGAACCGATTGGAACGACAACTCATTTTAGGTCACGTTTTATGAGAGAACGGAATAATCAGGACGTAAGCAGTTTTGAAGACTCACATGACTCTGATTATGGCAGTACTCATAGGAGTGTCCGATTCCAAGAAGAACCAAACACTCAGCCCAGACCTAAAATATTTGATACCGAAGAAGTCACGAGAGGACCATTGAGTGGAGTCATTAAATTGGTTGATTCACCGGCTGTTATGCAAAGACTTCATCAAAATGAAGTTCGACAAAAACAGAAAGAACAGGAGGCGGTCAGTGCACCCCCACCACCGCAACCATTGTCTACACCCGTCTCTAATACAACATCACAAACAATAAGGCGATTGCCGTCCAGACAAGTGAGTGAAGATGAAATTGAAAAGCAAAAGAAAGCCAATCAGGCGGCCGCTGCAGCACAGACTGCTAACCCACCCGCCCCAGTATCAGCAACTCCTGCAACACAATCACCAAAAACATCAGTTCCTCAATCACCAGTTACAACAGTTCCTGATTCGCCCACAAGAATCATCAACAGAAGATTAACTCAACTACAGAAAGAAGATTCGATTACTTCGAGATATAGTTCTGATGGATCACGACATGGATCCGATATCGAAGACAATCAACCAGGAGATGACTCGGATACAGGAATCAGTCGATATAGTCGACGACGAGAAGAGAGCCCGAGTTCTCGGATCTCTGCTGTGAGACAAACATCTACTCAAAGGCAAGTATCTGTTGATTCTGTCGACAATAGTTACAATTCTGCGACAAATATCACCAAAAATGCGACGACTATTAGTCCAACAAATGATACTTCAATGACAAACATGGTTTCCACTCCTATCAGAGCCGCCAACGAAACAAATATTAGTTCACAAATTCCTAATAATATTAGCAATAATTATAATACTCTCTATAAAGAGGATCCAAAAGAGCCCAAAACTACTCACAATAGTGTGGACTCTAAAACAGATTCTAAAACTGACTCTAAAGACTCTCAAGACTCGCCTGCCTGTCCCCCAACAGCCCCAACTGTCCCATCAGTGCCTCCTATTAAATACAAGTTTGTGACAAAACCGTTAAGCAGTGACAGAGACCGAGATTTAGTGACAAACTTAGTGTCGGACAGACCGTCCGGTGACAGAAACACTGTGACAAGTAATGGTACGAATGATAATACGTTTAGCTCAAGATATAGTGCCGGCACAAGAGGTGCAAGTGATGTACGTTTTGATAAGTCGTTATATACGAGTGCCAGCACTCGATCACCACTGCATTCCAGTAGAAGAAGTGAATCAGCAAACGATAATCTAATGCCTTTGATTCCAAAAGCTTCCGACGCTTTGTCTACTAATCAGGTACTTAATGGTCACTCTTCAGGCTATAGTCATCATCAGTACGATACAAGTGATAGGTCACCCCGTATGTCATCACCCCCGAGGCGGGTGAGTCTTGAAGACTTTAGAGGTCAGGAAAGACCAAATTATAACCCGTATAGAACTGCTACTAACCGCTCAAATACCGCTTTGAGCGCCCAATCAGCGCAACCCATAACTGCCTCACAATCGCATATAAGAAGTCCTTCCTCTGCATCAGCCGTTTTGTCGTCTGTATCTCAGCCGTCGTCGTACAGACAAACGCTTACATCACTTGGGTTTCCTGATTCAAGTAATGAGAGACAAATCATTACAAATTCAATCGATTGGGGAATTAGTCTCTTTGATTATTTATGTTATACTATGGGATTCATTGCTTTCATACTTGTCCTTATATATAGGTCTATACGTTCGCCGCTGGGGAAGAACTCATCGGTAGACAGAGACAGACACAGCAACACAATCATCGCACCGGTCGTTACTGAATCACCGCAACATAACACTCATTTAGAGAGTACAACAGTTACTAATAGACAACCAATTGTTAGCCAACCATCAGATAAAACAAATGCGAGAATCATTTCCACTGACATCGACAGTGATAATAGTGACAGTAATGCTAGCAATGAGTCGAGTGCTGACTCACAATCCGAATCCGATGAAGAAGAGGAAGACGAAGAAGAGGAGGACGAGGAAGAAGACGAAGAAGAGGAAGAAGAGCCAAATACGAGAACAGCAGTTAGTGTCAGTAGTAGTCGTCCGCTGACCAGTATTTCACATGAGAGGTCTGATCTTTATAATCAAATGTCAGCGTCAGTAAGCAATTTATTGAATCTCAGTGCTCAGGTGCGTAAGGCACAGGAATCCATCACCAAACCAGAATCTCCTGTTCCCCAAAGAATTTCCCGACAAAACACTTTGTCCGATGACACCACTAATGAGCGGCCCGTATATAAAGGGAGGCGAACTTCAGATGCCACTAAAGATGACTATACATCCTCTTATCAATCAAGACGACCATTGAGTCGTGCGGCCACACTTGATGACGATCCCGATGACGTGGTTAGCACTTCGACGCCATATTCACGATTTCTATCCCGAAGTAAAACAAGTTCAACATTAGTATCCAATGACAATACTGGTGGCGATGACTCCAAATTTACATACAATAGTACTACGAGAAGACCAGACAAATTTGGTACGACTAGTAGTTCCTCATATCGCAGTCGTTTGGCTAAAAGCAAGAGTTCCCACTCTATATATGGTATTCAATGGAGATTTCATTTGGATTTTTGGATAACAGTCTTAGGCTTAGTCGCCATGGCTTTCGTTATGATTATAACCACATTTCGAGACAATAAGAAATAATTTTAATTACTAATAGATTGTGTGATTTAATATGTGATAATTCTATGATAATTATGGCTATTATATTCAGAATTTAAACTAAAAAATTTTGTATTATTAACTGATATTATATTAAGGATTGCAGTGATTTATATTAATAACTAATAATATAAGCTTTTAAAAGCCTAATGGACTAAGACTGGTATCTGAAAAGTTTCAAATGAATTTGAATTGTAGTTAAAGTAGTAGTAAAATAATAATAGCTATTGATATTAAATATTCTTAGATATAAAATTAAACGTTTATACATATTATATAAGTTTGATTTGTTTTTTAAAATAAATAATTTTTGTCAACTTTTGTGAAATTGGCAATTATTTATAGGTTTTGATGATAGTGATGATGAAAATGTAAATCCAATATCACCCACATATAAGAGCAGATATAGTGAATCTGTTTTACCCGCCAGAAGAACCTCCCGTTCCTCAGGATATACCTATAGAACCCGGGATCCGGGTAGTCCTCCAGCTGAAGATGATATGGGTATGTATATTGATTTTGATATAATCATTAAGTTAACAATTTAGGTCCATCTGTAGCTCAATACTTGATCAACAAATACAGCTCTAAGACATCGTCAGCCCATAAGACAGAGCCAACAAATAGGACGTCATCTATACTGAAAAGCAAGAGCTCTCACGTGTTATTTGGCAGAAGTATCTCGAGTTCCGATGACGAGCCATCTATTGCCTCATTGTCGGCCCGTCGCCGAAGTCGTGATGAAAATACTGCATCATTTATGTCATCATTGACCACATCGGGCATCGGACTTACATATCCGAGACAAATGTTTTTACAAAAAAGCCGTCTAATGATGAAAATAGGATCGCGTGGCACTGATCCGGGCTGTTTCACTTGGCCTCGGGGTGTTGCCGTTGGCCCAAACAACAGTATAGTAGTGGCCGACTCTTCCAACCATAGGGTCCAAGTATTTGACTCAACCGGCAGATTTTCATTCGAGTTTGGCTCCTATGGTAGCGGAGAGGGAGAGTTTGACTGTTTAGCCGGTGTTTGTGTCAATAGAATCGGACAGTTTATAGTCTCCGATAGATATAACCATAGGGTCCAGGTTTTTGATAGCTCCGGAAGATTTATGCGAGCCTTCGGTAGTGAGGGTCGATCTGATAGTAAATTCAGTTATCCCTGGGGTATAGCTTCTGACGCTCTCGGCTTTATCTATGTATGCGATAAAGAGAACCACAGAATTCAAGTCTTTCAGTCGGACGGCCTGTTTGTTGGAAAGTTCGGTACAATAGGAAGTAGGACTGGTATGTTAGAGCACCCGCATTACATTGCCGTCAGTAATACCAATAGAGTCATYATCAGTGACAGCAATAATCATAGAATTCAAGTTTGTATCCCATATTTTTTATATAATTTTTTTTTGAACAAAATATATTTAACTGTTTTATTATAATCAAAACATTTGTGTTATATCTGTCTATTTATATAAAGATATTTGATGTAAATGGGAGGTCACTCACAACATTTGGCAGTGAAGGTATATTTGTTATCTATTTTACCAAACATTTAGTTCACAATTTGTTTGCCAAATGCATCCATTTTTCTCGTTAACTTTATTTCATGAATCCTATAATAATACTATAAAATCATTATAAAAATGATTTCACTTTATGTTTATAGAGCGTAACAAATATTTTTAAAATCAATTTGACATTCACTAAGCAATTATAGCGATATTATCCGGAATATTCATGAAATAAATTGATTTTTTACTGATAACAAAGTCAATGCTAATTATAGATAATTAGATCATGTTTTAAATTTATTTAAAAAATAAAATAAAGCAAATAATCAAAATATTTAACAAATTAATACAACTATAGGTTCAAATGACGGCCAATTTAAATTTCCGAGGGGTGTAGCCGTCGATGATCAGGGATTTATAATAGTAGGCGATAGTGGCAACAATAGGATACAAATATTCAACCCCGATGGCACATTCTTGAAGGTATAGGATTCATATTTATTTAAAAATATATATTAATATATATAACATTATTAACAAAATAATCAAATCAATCAATTATGCAGTCGTTTGGGACGTGGGGTGCGGGAGAGGGAGAGTTCAAGGGCTTAGAAGGAGTAGCCATAACATCCACCGGCAATATCCTGGTCTGCGATCGCGAGAATCATCGGATTCAGATGTTTTGAGTCACTAAATATTTTTTTGATAACATTTCTCGATTGATATGCTTTTAATGTACTGTTTATTTTACTATCGATTTCAGAGCTTATGTTAAAATTAAGTTATGTTTTATCCATAAGAAAATTTGTTAGTTTTTACATTTCATATTATTTATAGTCTTAAAGCTATTGTCGAGGTTATTGGTTAATAGCTTTAAAAACTGATAAATATGTAGGTTCTATAAGATTATCATTTATTTATTATTTAAAAAAAAATATTATAATACTTTGTATTTTGTTTAGTTTTACTAAAAAATTAAATCTAAAATTAGTTAGACTTTAAGTCAGTGGAAAAAAAGTTGGCACACATTCATGTTTTGTCTGATGAAATCCAATTGGTGTACAAAAATTAGTCCATTTGGTATAAAACTATTGTTAAAATAATATCTATATATTTTTTATCGTTATTAACTAAACAAAGTTTGTTAGCTATTAACTAACTCTTAAACAAATTTTTTTTTTGGAAAACGTTGTTAATTTAGACAAATATTTAGATAAAACCTTTAACGGTATATTAATGTAAAAAAACTATTTGAAAAAATAAATTGTATAATAAAATTGTTTGTAAGTAAGCAATAAAAATGAAATTTTAATTTATTTCAAACAAAATCCATGAAAATGGTTGTAAAAAATTGTAAGTAATATAAGTATACATTTACTGTACATAAGAATTTAGATAATTAGTAAATAAATTGTTTAAATTGTAATATAAATTAATTAAATGACAATTAATGAGTGGATGAGTGTTCAAAAATAGGCTCCAAATCACTGCGGGAAGGATTCGGTCGATACGTACCTCTTGTATCGACCAACTCCTCAATCGACGATACCTTCTTTGGTCTCTTTCTTTCGAAACAACGGAAGACACGAATGCATAGATAAGCGGAAACAAAGAAGATTATGATATCCAATAAGTATTCAGAGTAAGAAAAATCAGCCGTCCATCCATTACCCGCATTGTTTACATTGAATCGGATGTCAATCAAATTGAATTCAACGCCTTTTCCTAYGATTTAAACAAAATTTATGAAATTAACAAAAAAAATCATATATTGATAGAGTATTAAAATAAATATTCAGACTAACCGTTAAAGCTATCGATGATAATAAGTATAAATCCAGCAAACAGTTTGGCGCCTTCAATGAATGTGGCGATGACCAGGACATCGACCAGTGCCAGACAGGCCCCCATAAAAATGCTAAACATGACAAACGCGTAGATATAGAAGACACCAGTGATGACAATTGTAGCCCATTTTCTCATTGATGGATCGCTTAATTCAATTGATAGAAATTGTCCGCAATCTTCAGAACAGACATCCATTGGACGGCTATTTAGATCTGGTATCGACCGGACATAAGCCGTGTCATTGATTAGTTGGTCGTCATTTAAGCTATTCTGTGACCAACTTTGATCCGTTTGAATGGTGCCGTTGGACGAAATAAATGTTTGATTACCGTCTAATGTAATTGTCATAGTATTAGAACTGTCTTCTGGAACTGATTCTTGAAATTCTTCTATCCATTCTTGAGATGACAAATTTGAGTGCAAAGTATCAAAACCATTGACCAGATTATCCACAAGATTATCATTAACTAATTGATGGACAATAGTATTCTCAGATATGTTTGCATTTTCATCGAAATCATTTTGTGTGACAGAAAAAGCCAAATCTCGCTTATGAGGACTTCGGTTGAGTTCCGATTGATTACTATTAATACTATTGTTTAGCAAATTTACATTTCTTTCAATATCTTCATCAATGGTGTCAATGACAACTTCCAGTTCATTGTTGTCGATTGAATGATCCGTTTTATTGCGGATATTGTGAAATAGTTTTTTGATGATCTCATGTTCWGATGAAATCTGTATCGATTGGTTGGATGGTTGGTAGGTATCAATTGGCGATCTTTTGTGTCTGTTTTTGATATCCGCTTCTTTTGATTGAATGTTAAGTCCTCTCACAGAATTGAATAAAGCTGATGAATGATGTGATATAAATAGCGGTCCGGAGCCGTTGTTGTGGGTGCTGTTAGCACAGGGATGACAATCAAATGTGGTGAATGTAAGCCAAGTGGCAAATGTACAATAAATTATACGAGACATCAATGATATAAATGACAGGACAATGACTACGAAGCGAACAAATGAAGTCTTTTTTCTCATTTGAGGTGATTTGCGGCACTTTGTCACCTCTTTGGACCCTTTCTTAGCCATTGATGATTGCAAAAGATATTAATGTCGACGAAATGAGAATTAAATCATTCAATGAATGGATTCAATGCAACACTAATGAAGTGACGAATCGGTCGGTGAAATGTTGAATGACTTTTGCGTTAAGTTTTTGAATGAAATCGATTGACCGGTCATTTGCTTTGAACGGCACGTGAATTGTTAACAAACACTGCATTTTTGGACATAAATTCTTGTAATAATTATTTAATTCACATTCAAATCAATGCTTATTTGACATTGAAATTCAAAAAAAAAAAATTTTTTTAGACATTACTACACTATTTTACAGTCCAACACATCAGTCAAAGACAACTTGTTTTTTAACAATATTTCATGATTTTTGTTAAAACACTTATTGATTGTATTGTTGATTATTACATCTCTCTTTATCTGTATATTTGAACTTCAAATTGTGAAGATGTGATAAACCAATTATCACTTGTAGTTGATTTTGAAGTAACAATTTTTCAACACAAATCCCGAAAATAATTATCAAAAAAAAAAACAATTTTCCAATAAATTAATTTTGCCCTAAATCTCAATTATATCAATGCTATATCTATTTCTAGAATCTATTAAAACTTTTTATTTATTAATGGATCGCAAATGGATCAAAATAATTGAAAAATAAATCTATTGATAGAGTTTTGACAAATACAAAACTTATTGTTTTTAGTTAAGCAAATAAACTTTCAAATAAAGCTATTGTCTTGAAATAAATCTTAACTAAAATTCGCATTTTTTTGTTAAAATTTTTAAATGTCAATAATTTTTGAAWTTTTTTTGTGAATATAACTGGTTTTGTGAATAAATTATAAACTTTTTTTGTGATATATTGGTGGAAATTTTTAAGTACCCTATTGTCTATTAAGTAATAAGTCAAATAGTGACTATAATTAAGGCTAATTGTTTGAATCCCAACAGTTATATACTGTAAAATACATAAATAAATTCAGAAAAATCCATCTTTAAAATAGCTTATTGTTTAAATAGTAATGTCTTAAAACCAATATAAAAGGGAACCGTTTTTTAGAGCACATCTTACGCTTCACTGATCATAGATTGTAATCAACGAAATGACAAAACGCTTCATAATTTTTTGCACTTTTTTTGTATTGTTTTTTAGTCAATAATTATAACTCCAATGAATAGACTGTAAGATATATAAATGAATAATAATTTGATTAATATAACCGATTATACAAATGTTTCTTCATTTCAACACATTTTGTCTCTACGGGTCGATTGTCTTCACGAATCATGACATCCATAGTTCACATCAATATATGTGAGTCATTCATCCAATCCGTTAAATCAGTCATTCATTTTATAACATAAAACAGAAAAATTGCGGAAAATATAAGTATTACTAAAAAATTAAACTAATTTAAGAGTTAAAAATATATATATATTTAAGTTAATTTAATAATTTGAATTTTATTTTAATTGTAAAACAAATGAGAGAAAAACAAAATCCTAATATATAATGAATAAGTTAATACTAATAAATAATTATAAAAAAATTGTAATTAAAAAAATCTAAATCACATTTATATGACTTAAATTTCAAGGCAATTACTATATAGTATYATAAAATATTTTATTTGCAAAAAACTAACATTTAATATAATTTGTTTAATAAAATGCTTGAAAACATCGTAAAACTAAGTCTTAAATTTCTTGAAATCGTTGTCTAATTTGAGTGCAAATGATTGACCACAAGAGCAGCCCTGTTCTGACTGCGGATTATTAATCACACGAAACGACGATTTGATCAGTTCGTCGGTGTAATCAATGGTCGATCCCTTCAAGAACTGAATAGACTCGCCGTCGACCACCACTTTGACACCATTTCGTTCAATGATGTGGTCGTCTTCATTGACTTTGTCGGTGATATCAAATTTGTACTGAAGTCCAGAACAGCCGCCGCTAAACACTTCGACCCGCAAAATGTCATCGGATTTATCCATAACTTTCTTAAGTCGTTCAACGCAACTGTCGCTTATTGTAATCATTGGCCGATTGTCTGCATCAGTGACCAGTTTATTGTGATGTTGTTGACTGCCATTTACTGTCACTTCATTTGAACCATTAGTGGTCGCACTCAACGCCATCGACTTTATCGACGCTTTTCTGGTCATCGCAACAGTCAATGATCTTCTTGTAATACATTTGACAGCAAAATGATTGCCATTTCTTAGACAACAAACTGTCCTCAAAAGTAAACAAACATTTGTAGACCAAATGTATTGCATATAAATATAAATATAAATATTATTTATGAAATTAAAATCAATTTTATAATAAATTCAATACTAATTGTAAACAATATTATACTACAGTATATGTATTACTATTAATAATATTGTAGTTGTAATCCGTATTTCATAATCAATAGTACAGTATTACCGGTAATGTAATGCATATATAAAACATACGTTTACTCCATCTGATGATCACATAATACATTAATCAACTATAAGTTTATATACCGTATTACCTCATATTTATATCTGCAATAAAATTCAAATTCAATTTTTCTATGATTTAATTTATAGCAATATAAATATTCCCAGGACCGGCAAACACTTGATATATGATTTCAATGTATTTTTTATTTAATATTTATTATTATTTTTAATAATTTAATATTTTTTAGTTATTTATATTACGATTTTGTAGGCATTTAAATACAAGCATTTTAATACAATTAGTGTTATACTACAGTATATGTATTACTATTAATAATATTGTAGTTGTAATCAGTATTTCATAATCAATAGTACAGTATTACCGATTATACTTTATAATAGTTTAATAGGGTAATAGTTTAGCGTAGAAATATTTCTATTTTTTAGGCAATAGTTTTAATTTTTATGTGTTTTATTTATCATAAATATTATTATAGTATAAATACAGTATAATTAATAAAAAAATAAATGATAAAAATAATTATTATATTATAATTACTAAAATTAATATAATACTTATAGTTTTCTGAATACATGTAATTTTATAGTTATTATTGATAAATTAAATTATAAAATAATATTTATTAATCTATTTTATCGAATCATCGAAATTGGATGACATTTACTTTCTAACCAAATGTCTAATAATGTTGAGTAATACGGTATATATATAATGATTGGACGCATGTATTGTATTGTTTTAATATGAAAAGCATGTCTTAGAATGTATTACAGAGTATTACAGAGTATTCTATGAGTGATTCACGTCATGTGATTCGTCTATCAATTCATTCGCTATAAAGTTGTCTTCAAAACGACATTCAAAACTACAGACGAGTCAAACCCAAGATGGCTGACATACCAGCGGGTGATGCGGACAAAGGAAAGAAAGTATTCGTACAGAGATGTGCTCAATGCCATACAGTAGAGAAAGGTGGAAGTCATAAGACTGGTCCCAATCTTCACGGTCTCATTGGACGCAAAACCGGTCAAATGGCTGGATTTGATTACACCGAAGCAAACATCAAAAAAGGTAACTAAAAACTAACCACCGATTGTTTGGTCTGTTATCTCTTTTTTTGTTATATAATTTTAATGATTTTGATGGTCAGGTATCACCTGGAATAAGGAAACCCTTTTTGAGTACTTGGAGAACCCGAAGAAGTTCATTCCCGGCACTAAAATGGTGTTCGCAGGACTCAAGAAGAAAAACGAAAGGGCAGACCTGATTGCATACTTAGAGCAGTCGACCAAATGATGAGCTGATCCAATGGAAAGCAATTCATATACATATATAGGCACTAATATTAGTTATTTAATTAATTAATTGAATTTTAAGTTTCTTAAATTTTAAAGTATTAAAAATTTTCAAATTGTAGTCAAATTATACAAAATTGTTATCAAATTAAAAAGCATTTGTTTTCTTCTTTTTTTCAAATCTTAATTGAGATTTGATTTCATTGAATAAAATTTATTATTTTGGTTGATATTATAATATTCAATGTTTTATTGATTGAAAATTTTAAGCCCTTGAATGCTAATTATAATGGATTATGCAATTCAATGATAACATTACCAACAATTTGTTACATTAATATAGTAACACATTTTATATTCAGATAAATGCTATGTTTTTATCTACGATAGAGACCGATGTGTGGCGTCAAGTGTTTCAATAACTACTAAATTGTATAATCAAATTGTGAATTAYAATCTGATAAAAAAATTTTTTTTGATTATATTAACTATTTTTTTTATTATWAGAAACTAAAATATTTAATTTCTAAATAATCAATATTTTAATGTTTGATAACTTTATATGAAACATAAGATTATAGCGACAGTAATATATAGTGTATGAAAAGTGAATTGTATAATAAATTTTAATAATGCTATAATCATATAGTCAAACATTTTATAAACATTTATCGTAATTACGGTAATAATGATAAAGCAAACACTAAATCTTAGTTTATATTTATTAAATTAATTTACAAACAATTTTTTAATTAACTTTTAACATTAATCTATAAAATTGACCAAACATTTGTTAATCAAAATAAGATACAATAAATATATGATTTTTTAAACTACTCTGGTTTTTGAATACTGTCTAATAGTTAATGGAAAATAATACCTGTATTAAATCATTGAATCATAATTAATACTTAATAGAAAGTTAAAAGTATTTTTTTTGTTATAAAATATTTTGAGACAAATCAAACAGTAATATGTTATTGAAAAAAATTCAGTAAATTTAAAAAATTATTGGTACTTAAATTTTTGTATGATGTATACTAAATTGATTGATGGTTAAAAACATACTTATTTTTAAGTTAACAATTATTACTTTAGATATTGTTATCATAATTTGAAATTTGTTTGAAAGGGTTCGATATATTTTGTAATTTAATGTAAATTTATATGAATTAATAAAAATATTAAACCAATTGAATGTAGCAATAAATTAAAAGTGTCTGAAAAATATTTATTAATATATGATTAAATTATTTTAGTTTAGCTTATTTTTTTCAAAATGACAAATTAAATTCAAATATGTAAATATTACATATTTTCATAGCTTATAATAAAATATAATATTATTTGCAAAAGTAAAAGTCTATTTTGTTAATTTTAATTGTTTATTAGATTAGACAACAATATCCCAAATATTATTACTTTATTTTTATATTCGATTTATTTACTATTAAATTATTATTTCTTTATTAATGTTTTTTTTATTTAATAAATTGTATTTTATAATATTTAATATTTGTTTTGTGAACCACATGTCTTATTATCATAAATTCAATAATTAAGTCAATAATATCTTAGTTAAATCCTTGACATTGAATTCAAGGATTTGCAAAAAAATTATATTTTTGAACTATCGTATGTAAAAATCTAGAAAATTATATAAATTGTATATAATTTAAATATTTAATAAATTAGTGACAAAACATTTTTAAAAAATAATATACATATTAATTAAAATTGCATTGAATCTACTTTATTAAAGTTTATTTAATTATTTAATTTTCTACTGTATTTACGAATCTATAATTTAATATAATGAATGATATTTACTTAAAATATATTAAATTTAGTTGTTATTTAACCTACAGTACATTAGATAGTAATTAATTATAAATATCTAAAATATTTTTTTAAACTTTGGACAAATTAAATATTTTTTGATATATAGTGTTGAGTGCTAAATAATATTTCAAAATAATTAGCAATAAAAAGGCATAATTAATTTTAATTTGTTATATTGAGTTAAGTGTTTAGTTAAACTTATATTTTGACAGATAATTACAATATTTATTTTTACAATAAATTGTTTTAAAGATAGATTTAAATAAAATAACAGCAATACGATTAAACAATGATTAGAAATTTTATTTTTAAAATAACGCTAAATTATATTGTATTTCTGTTTATTTTAGTTTCTTTAATTGAATTTATTGAATACTCATACATTAGTTTTGATAAATGATAATTTTATACAATATATAATTAAATAAATAAACTTTTTAAACAATAAACAAAATATTATGCTATTTCAAATTACAGTACAATATATTTATCATTTATTAATAACATTTGTATAACAATTCAAAAAATAATTGTTAAATATTTGTCGATTTTCTCAACTATAATCTATTGTCGTTAATGTTTGCGTCAATCAAGTTATTAACTTATTTTCAATAGTTTCAAATTAAAATTTTACAATTATTAACATTTAATTAAATTATTTTTTGAAATAATAGTAATTTATGTATTTTGTAATAATTTATATTAATCTTAGTTTAAAAATTACTTTTTTAGTTTAACATAAATTATAGTCTATTAATTTATACGGCATTCTCCAATTGGTTATCATTTGTAGCATTTAACTACAGTAATAATAATAATAATACTAATAAACTATATGTATATCGAGTTTATATTAAAGATTTATAGTCTATAAATATTAATGAATTAAATTTTTATTATGCATTAAAGGTTCAAAAATCCTATAAATTAAGAAAGCTTTTTGTTTATATGATAATTAAATTAGTATATAATGTTGTCGATTAATATTTTTAAAAAATAATAATAAATAAAAATGCAAAAAAAACAAAATCAACAAAATTTTAGTTTTAATATCTAATAAAAATCATATAATGTACAATTTTATAAAATTATGTGTATATTGTTTAATATTGCATAACCTATTAAATAGATAATAAATAATCAATTTATTTTACAATTTTAAAATAATTTATTATTGTTTTGTATATGGAAAAACAATAATGTTATTTTTATTTTTAAAATATAGCTTGTTAATTTTTGTTAATTATTTATGACTTGTATTATGTAATTATAACCAATTATCAATTAGTGGATATTAAGCCAAATGAGCCAACACTGTAATTATATGATCATAATTATAGACTAATGAACCATGCTCGTTTTTATTTATTTCTCTCTCTCTTTCTTTCTCTCTCTTTATTTTTTCTGTCTGTCTAACATTTACTTAAAGCTATTAAGAAATAACAAAATAATAAAAACTATAATATACTGTATATGCTATTATGCTATTAGTATATAATATGTAGGTTGTATTTATTAAATTACATTAAAATATAAATTGCAAACAATTATTGGATGCTATTTGAAACATAAATGTTATTATATTAATACAGTAATAATAATAATAATACTAATAATAAAAACCATTACAGACAATTCAATAGGTTTACAAAATAGTGTAGAAATGTGAGGTTGATAATGATTTTATATTTTAACAATTTTTATTGACATATCTATAATATAATCATTGCATATAAACTAGATTTTTTTGAAAAATCTATTAAACTGAATATAGATTTGTTTTATAGTTAATATAAAATTAAAAAAGTTCTTTAGTTATTAACTAATGTCAAAATCTATGTACTCGTTTGCACCAATGTTATACAGTAGTAATTGAATTAATAATTAAATAAACGATTTTATTTGTCAATAATGGTAACTACAGTACTATATATAGAGTAAAATTAAAGTTTTATGATCTTTGATTTTGTTATCAATTAAATATTATTTTCAAGAACTTTGAAATCTTATTTCAATTGATTCAATGAATAATTCACTATTATATCAATCATACAGTCTTAGTGAAGTATTTGGGTTTTATTCAAATAGTGTTTAGTTTAGTTTAATACTTAACTTAAATATAAAAAGGGTTTTTTGGTTTTTATTATATAACAAAAATAAACTTTTTAATGATTACAAAATATGAAAAACATTTATATTATATACTATATATAAAGAATTAAATTATACTCGTAATCATTCATTTATGGAGAAAATTGTATTAAAAAATAAATAATTATATTAAACATAATTTTCTCTATCGTTTTGAAAACTTTTTATAAGCATTTCCCAAAAATATTAAACATTTTATATACAAAATTAAAAACTAATTTATGGTTTGTTTTTTTTTGTAACAAAATTTATTATTAACAAAAATTTTCAAAAACAATAAGTTATAATAGTTTTTTTTWATAAGATTTCCGCTTTTCAATGGTTTTCATAGTTAAGAGACATGTAGTAAAGGAAATATTGAAACATTGAATTACTTTATTTTATTGCTTTATATCTGTAAATATAATTAAGCGAAAAGTAGACCGAAAAAAAACTACAAATAAAAACATAATTTAATCTAATAGTCACAACAATTGATTGACAAATACCGGTAACTATTTTGACTGAAAAAAATAAGTTCAGTTAATAATAATTGCATACATTATGAAATGTTTAACTAAATATTAATAAATACATTATAATTTAATTGTTGTATTATTACTGTAATACAGTCTATGATATTATAATATTAGATTTGAAAATAATAGAAAAGGGAACTAAAAAATAGTAGACATTATTGATGACCAAAAATGTATAMTAAATGTTGAATTTGAAGAGCAATTCCAGTGAATAACAACGTTATTATGCATTTCATATGCAATTCAATGGTTATGTTATTTTGAAGGCAAAAGGCGTTACAAATCAAAAATAGTAGAGAGAAGTGAAGTCAAGTGATTGAGTGAATTACACGTTGAGTTCAAATACATATTAAAGTATAGACACAGACTTACAATACTGTTGTATAATAATAATAATAATAATAATAATAATAATAATCATTGAATCCATTGATGTTTTTCTATTGCTATTCAAATCTATAGTTTTTTTGGATTCAATGTTTATTTTTGATTATAATAAACACAGATTTCAATGCAAACACATCAGTGAACCAATTGATAGACATATTTATCATTATTTTAATTGTCACTACAGTTATTGTATTAATCATTAATGCCATTCATTAATATTGATTTGTTTTATAAAAATATATTATAATATTTAAAATAAGTCATCAAATGACAGATGAAACAAATGGTTTGTTTTGTATCTAATGACTAACTCTTGTGTCCAAACAATTATCACATCATTTGTCAAATTAATAAACTAATAGTAAACGAAAATATTTTTGAAAAAATATAATTTTTAAATATATTTTATATATAAATAGATATTAATATCTAGTTTTTGTTGACACAAGTGATGTCACTATTAATTAAGTTTTTCGTCGTAAATATTAATTAATTTGTGACCAAATGAGTGACAAACACAAGACATGAGATATCAATTGTTTCGGTCGTTAATGAAATGAATATACGACGGACTTCCTCGTCATCGGCATTGTTGTCGACGACGACCACCGATACGACCAGATGGACAAACAGTTCGTCACAATTGCTTCAGACCATCGAAGACAGCATTTCTAATGTGTACTACAAGTATGGCCTCATCTGTTCCCGACATCCCGTTATAGTGATTGTGACGACACTATTGATAGTCGGCATCTGTTGCTATCCACTGACGGGAATCCGTTATCTTTTGGGTAATTCATCGCAAAAGTTTATGACCACCACTGACCACGCATATGACTCGCCGCCGAATATTAACAATAAGGATAGATCTGCTGACCACCCGATCCCAGATTGGGTACACATTTGTTTTATTTTAATTTAGTTTAAAACCTGATTTAAGTTATAATAATAATGTTATTCATTGATAACCATAGTATGAAAGCAATCAATCGCTGGCATTCATACAGCAAATAGTGGTGAAGTCAGCAGTGATCCCATGGAAAGACAATCTGATTCTTATGGATGCCATTCGGGCACCACTTTTGCAGTCATTTAAACTCATTGAATCCATTTCTAACTACCAGTCCGTTAATGGGTATTATAATTGTTACTATTTTATAAATTATTTTATTGAAAAGTTATTGTTTCATCAGAGAATCGGCTCAAAGTTTGGACAACTACTGCTTTCAAATATCTGAACCAATTGCTAAAATGGTTGACAAACAGTCGGCTACTTTTTTGCCAACCTTTTCCTGTCTAGTTTTAAGTCCGTCTAACATATGGCAGAACGATATCAATAAGTTTTTAATGGATCCAACAATCATAAAGACAATGTACTCAGTTAAAGATCTCACATCTCATTCCTCTGGTTCGGGAAGTCTACGTGATATTCTGTTYGGCATTCCGTGGATGGAGACCGGAATCAAACGACTATATGTGCGAACCCGACAGAGAACCATCACATATGCCATAACATTAGTTTTATCGAAACACAGCCAACAATACATCGATGGTTTGACCAATTTTTTGAAAGACAAATATTCATTTAATCCATTGCTTAATAACGACACAAATGAGCAAAATTTGCCGACACAGACATTAACTCATATTTATTTTCAAAACAAGTTTACATTTTATGATTTTATGCCACTTCTGGCAACTTATGTGATGCTATTTCTCTACATGTATTTCTCAGTTCGTAAGTTTGCTTTTAGTAATTATTTTGTTTTATTAGACATATTGTGGTTTATTTTTTATAATTTATTTTAATAGATATAGTACTGTGTGTTAATTTTATCTTTTATTTAATTTTATAATAATAATTGTATAAATCAGGAAAAATTGATATAATAAAAAACAAGTGGGCTCTGGCCTTGTGTTCACTTCTCACTGTTATTATGTCATTAATGATGTCTTTGGGTATTTGTCTGAGACTTGGATTCAATCCGACACTAAATGGCACTCATATACTGCCATATGTTGTCATTATAATTGGTGTGTTTTGTTTTGTTGTTAGATTTATTTATAGATTTAATGCTAATTTAAATATTATTTTTTAGGTCTTGAAAATATGTTGGTATTGACAAAATCTGTAGTGTCAGCGCCAGCACACCTGGACATCAAAGTGCGAATGGCTCAGGGATTGAGTCGCGAGGGCTGGTCTATCACTAAAAATCTTATGACTGAAATTACACTCTTGACATTTGGATTTTTTACATTTGTTCCTATAATTCAGGTATAAATATAACAAAAAAACAAAATTTTAAATGACTGATAATTTAATTTTGAATTATATGTTTAGAAATTATGTTTGTTTGCAACGGTTGGTCTGCTCACAGACTTCTTCATTCAGATAACATTTTTTGCGACCGTTTTATCAATTGATATTCAAAGGCTTGAGGTTTGTATTATAGTTATATGTCTTTAATTATTCACTATTTTTTGTTGTAAATCAATTTATACCAAATGTTATATTTGCACTTTTACTCACTTTATCTAATTTTTTTAACCGAYTGTTTGATAAAACGGTAATCTGAAGGCCACTTATTTAAGTTTATTTGCCTCAGTTATTAATAACTTACTGATTTGATAACATAGAAGTTATTTAATTAATAAAAATCTATATAACTTATATTAAAAATAAATATAGCGGTAATTTTATATTAAATTAATCTGAAATGATTTTAATTAATTATTTGTAAATTATATTTATTTAATTACATTGTAGCTCAATAATAAAGGCCATAGCAATGGACATATTAGTTCACAAAGCCATAGGACTCATAGCAGGCATAACTCTGCTGCAGACATGAATGGGTTGGTTTGAATGAATTTTTAGTGCAAAAAAAAGTTTTAATTTATATTTACTTGTATTTAGCGTAATGTATGGCAATCGGACTTATGGCCAGAATGTGTTTGCCCGACCATCAAAGCCGAATCAATTTAAAATGCCTAAACGTTTGCGAGTCGTCTATTTTGTTGCCCGAACCAGATTAGTACAGAGAGCTCTTATGGTTGTTCTCATTGGTTGGATCTCATTCTTGGTCTATAATTTCGGAATTCTTGACCATTTGGGTAATGAATTGCAAAACGCGAATCGCAATTCATTATTTCGATCATTTGTTTCCGAAAACAACAAAGTGTTCATAAAAAACAAACAAAATAGTGAAAAAAGTGCCAAAAGTGATGATGAAAACGATAAAGTGATGCTAAACAAGAATAATTCGTTTGAAAATATTCTTGAAATGAATCGATTGGTTCATCACAATCCTGACTTTGGTGCCGAACGGTTATCATCTCAACACTGGTCGGCATTATTTAACTACTATAACCTTTCAGTTTCCGGAAATTATATAACAATTTTGCCGCCAATATTACTTTCCGTACCGACACCACCGGAGTCAGCTATTCAGATGCGTCATCCCGCTGAAAGTGATCCACAAATATTCAGACAATTTTTGTCACCTTCTGGACTACATTTACCTGATCCGGATGACAATTTTAGCGGATTAAATTCAGACACAATTCCACATATTCCGATGCAGTGGTCAAAAATGGAAATAATGATAACATTGGGTTTATCAATACCGAGTATTATATTTATTATATATGTTTTTGTTTTGATGTACCGATGTATGTGTTCCCGAAATTACGCCGAATGGCGAGATTCGTGGTCACAGACACTGCGGTTCAGTAAAAATAACAACAATAAGAAGCGTAACTTTGGTTACGATATAATTGATTTTGAAACAAATCCAATAAAACTTCAGGATCACGATCAAGAACTTAATCTTTTGGCATCTAATAGTGATACACCTTTTGTTATGTCGATTTGTATAAGCGGTGACATTAAGGTTTGGGACGTCCTTTCAGGAGAATGTCACACTTATATTAAGAGATTCACTGCTGACCTCAATGATCACAATCAAGTTGTTCGCAAGCGATTTAAACCGACTCATAAACCAAGTGGTAGTTTCTCATCGGATTCAACTTATGGATCCTCTCCGGGAAATTCTAATGATTTTTTGAATGAAATCCCAAATAATAGTCTGAATCAGATATGCGAGACGCCATCACCTGTTAGGAATCGTTCGGCCAATTTTGATGGCTATAATTTTTCTTCATTTGTTTCTCAACAGACGAATTATTCTTCTCAAAGTTTATTAACTGAACTAATACTTAACGCTGCCGTCAATTCAGAAGAGATTTCATCTAATGAATCGACGGTTAATCTCGGAGTTGAATCAAGTCTTCCATATGAACCCATTTGGTGTTCAGAAATATTTGGTAAATTAATTATAATYGGATGTTCTAACGGTCGCATTGAAGTATGGGATGCACTCAATGGTAATCTTTGTTTTTGTTACGAGGAAAACAAGAGTGGAGTTACGGCACTAAAGGCCACAAACACTAAACTAGTTGTGGCCCGACTTAATGGGACACTCGATATCTTTAATGTCGATACAATCAATGGATTTAGTGTAAACATAACCTCGGATTCAAACACTAGTCCATCACCGCATTCGGCTAAAGGCCAAGTGGTTCGCTATAATTTGTTGCATTCATTCAGAGCTCACTTACAACCCATCACTTGTCTTCAAATTCTTGACTCGTCTACTATTATAACGGGTGGTTTGGATCATCAATTAAAAGTTTATCGTTTAGAAAATGCCAATTGTTTATTCACACTTCATGGCCATTGTGGTGGTATCACAACGATTCATATCGACCGAGTAATAATTTAATATTAATTACCATAAATTGGCATTTTATTAATAGATATTTATTTTTATTATATTTAGTATTGTCCATTCTCAGCAATAAGCGGATGCCAAGTGGGACAGTTATGTGTATGGGATGTCCAGACTCGCACCTGTGTGTTTAGTTTAGAAGCTCATATGGAGGCCTCGGTGACGGCAGCTTTGGCGACTCCACTGTATTTTATTAGTTCGGGAACAGATAACAACATTTGCATTTGGGATAAATATTCTGGTAATTCATGAGAACAATAATTTTGATTGTTTCACAAATGACTCACCAATTCCTATATATTTTTAGGTCATTTGGTTCACACAATACAAAATGTAAGTTATGGTAAATTTTTTTGTTTAGTAATGATTTAATGACATATAAAAATGTTTGTATTGATAGCATCATAGTTTTTGCCGGGAAATGTTATTACTGACCCCAAACATATTGGTGACCGCACGGGATGACCATCTTGTTCTCTACGATGTATCAGAAGCAGTAGCCATTCGGATGATAGAATTGGACGCCAATTGTGATAAACAAAGTTATATTAAAAATCTGAAAATGTCATCACAGAGTCGGGCCGTTGTCTGTGATTATGGCAAACAATTGTGTGTCATTCACTTTCCCAGTGCTACTGAAAAAAGTGATTAAGTTTAACAACAATATTATAATAATATTTATTTTTGCTAATTATAGACTAAACTATATTTTTAATGAAATAATTTTATTTTATTAAGAGATCAAAAAAAAATTAGATATTGCAACAAATGTTTAACTGATTTTAAATGTTTTTATTTTCAGTAATACTAGTCATTCACATAAACCAATTTTTAAATCAAATATATATATAATATATATATTAATATTTAAATATTAAATTATTCATTGAAAATACAGCCATTATCTGACAACTCATTTTTTAAAAATGTAATGATTTATAATTTATGTAAATATATATATAAATATATATAAAAAAWATCGTATATTGTTATTATTATTATTAAGTAAATGAATGTTTTTAATTTAAAATAAAAATAAATTATTTTTATGTCAAAAGAGTGATGCTTTAATGTATATCAAAGTAATTACTATATTATTTGAAATTATATGAAAATAAAAAGATTATTTTTTTTGTCACAAWTTACTAAAAAAAAGTCAAACATTATATAATGTCAAACATCCGTATGTTTTCCTGACAAATAAATTTAATAACAAATTGCGTGAAATGTGATAGTATTTCATGTGTTAATAGTAATTAATTTTTTACTTTTATTTTTAATGGTCTTATCATAACAAAATAAACGTGAATTTTACTCAATAAAATAAATTAATACTATACGGTATATAATATATGTATTACAGTATACGGTATTAATATATAAGATAAAAACTTGAATATGAATCACAATTGGATGGTCTCTATAGTTTGATATCACTTTTTGTGTCAATTGCTAGGCATTCATGACATCGTTATCGACCACTAAATAATAAGTTGTGATAAATAATGTCAACAAATGCCTGAATTAGAGACAAACGACAATCAAATTTCAATGTATTTATCATTTTTATCAATAATTACAACTCATGGCTGAAGTCAACTATAAGGCCAGTACTTCCAATAATGGCGAAGAAGATTTGGAAGCGTCGGTTGAGATCATCGATCCAAAGATAGTCAACAGTTATTCTGAGTCCAATGATGAAGAAGAAGAAGAAGGAGAAGACAACACTAATACAGAAGAGTCAAACCGTCCTTCAGGTGAGTGATTGTAAAGTTGCAGACATTTATTGAAAGCATTTTTAGTAGAAATGAAAAATAAGTCAATTTATAATAATTTTATTCAAAGTTTTTTTAGTTTTAGAAAGTTTTAAAAAATTATAAATCCATAAAAACTTAAATATAATATTTATAATTTTAGGTAAATGTTAGAAACAATTTTCTTTATATTTTTTTATATTAAAATTTCTATTACTATTTCAGTTTGAATTCACTATTTTTGATACAAATTAAAACTCATTTTTTAAAGTTTATTTAAAAATTGATTTAATTTCAAAGGATATTAAAATTAGTTTTTATTCAGTCGTTAAAACATTTATGATATTTATTATATATAAATATTATAGTTTTCAAAATTAGAAGAAATTATACTATTATTATAATTAATTGTCAATTAATAAGTTATATTTAAATTATCATTGAATTCTAAAAATACCAATAATACGCTTACCTTAAATAAACAAAATAATTTATATAAAATTTCAATAGTTTTAATCATTTAAAATATTAATTATAACATTTCAATAATACTGTAGATAATATAATCTAAATATTATTAAATTGTTAACTTTTAGATGCATTGTGGAGACAACAACGATTGCCTGCCTGGCAGGTATTAAATAGTTAATTATTAATTTACATCAAATTTCTACTAACTAAACAATAACTTTATTAATTTAATTTTATATTAACAAACATCTCTATAGCCTATCCTAACGGCCGACACAGTATTGCCCGCATTTTTTCTATTAGGAATCGCATTAATTCCTATCGGTGTCGGACTTCTATTATCATCAAATTATGTCAGTATTTTTGTGGTTATAAAATATTTGTTATAGAATTTAGTTTTATTTTTTTTAAATCAATAATTTATAGGTCACTGAAATTAGTTGGGATTATACTGAATGTATGGCATCGAATGGTCGGACAAAATGTATGGATATTATACGGAAGAAACGGATTAGACATCAAAAGTGTGTTTGTTATCATAATTTTACTATCGATGAGGACATATCGGCTCCCGTTTTCTTTTACTACGGTCTCGACAATTATTATCAAAATCATCGCCGATATGCTGTGTCACGCGATGATTACCAATTGGCCGGAAGGTCATTCAATAAGAAAAACTCGGACTGCCAGCCGTTTGATAARAYCAACGGTACATTTATAGCGCCGTGCGGTGCAATTGCCAACTCATTGTTTAACGACACATTTCAGTTGTATTATCAAAGCGAAAGGATTAACCTAAAACAGACACACATTGCGTGGCCGACCGATAAAAAGTATAAATTTAATAAACCCAGTGAAGGCTATCACTCATATACTAAGCCGCCGTATTGGCAAAAACATGTCGACGACTTGGATACGAGAGACCCGAACAACAACGGCTATCATAACGAACACCTAATTGTTTGGATGCGAACGGCAGCGCTGCCGACGTTTCGCAAGTTATGGGGACGAGTAGATCACGACCAGAATATTCTGTGGAGAACTTCACTACCGAAAGGCAAATATCAGCTCAAAATTGATTACAGTTTAGTGAACAACTATTTTAAATATACCGTATATACAGTATATTTGTTTAAAAGTTTTCAATAGTGTTAATCATAATTTTTGTTGTTAGACTATCCGGTGGTATTTGATACATACAAAGCCACCAAATATGTTATTATATCTAACACCTCATGGCTCGGCGGTAAAAACAGTTTTCTTGGATACGCCTATATAGTGGTCGGTGGTATTTGTCTATTACTTTGGGCCGGATTTTTATTATTAGTAAAAAAATATGGACAAAAGTAAGATTTAAATTCAACTATTGGTTTTGAATTATTACAAATATCTTTATTATTTATATATTTTGTTTTTAGACCAAAAGATATAGTAGATATCGGACCTAAAACTAAGTTTACGTTTACATTAAAGAAAAAGATTGTCACCAGTGATGAGTCTACACAACCTTTGAGATCACAAACTACTGTTACGTTTAGTTAAATCAGATTTAATAGATTAATTAATTTAAATTAAAAAAAGACTTAATTACATATTTTACATTACATTAAATGATTATTTTTAATTATTTTAATTTATAAGATGAAAAAATCGACGATTTCATTATTTATATTAAAAGTTATTATTTTGATTTATTTTATTACACTTTATTATACATTTTCATAATTAAACAATGAATTACTGCATTACAACAAATAAATAAATAAATAAAAGTAACTAATGTATAGAATCGTTGCTATACTTACTAAACCCAGTGATGATAAAAAATCAACAAAACTTTTTATCGATTTATTTATTATAAACTAATGTTTTGACATTAATTGGTATATTTATTATTATTATTATTTTTATATAATTAATAAAATGGGMTCAAAAATTAACGATAAAAGGGAATCTTTATGGCAGGACAGAGACGTGCGTTTTGATGTACCGCTTAATGAATTAAAATTAAGAAATGGTGAGCGAATAGTCGAGTACTTCTCCAAAATAGAAGACACGAAAGGAAACGCCGGCGAAGAGGGAAAGGTAACGATAACTAACTTAAGACTTATATGGCAATCAAAAATTAAGCCAAGAATTAATTTATCGGTTGGATTGGGATGTGTGTCGAGTCTAACCAACCGAACCATTCATACGAAACTTCGCGGCAAACACGAGGCTCTATATATAATGACAAAAGTTAATGGCACGCGATATGAGTTCATATTTACACAATTGGACCTCGAATTGGGCACTCAGTTCGGTATTGTTCAGCTCATCAGCAAAGTGTGTCGGGCCTACACATCAACCAAATTGTTTCGGGATCTTAAACTCAGGTCAGCTGTCATTACACCAAATAGTAAACAGCTTAAGGTATTGTCATCGGAGACAATCTATAACAAGATTGATGGTGTTTGGAACCTGTCCAGTGACCAGGGCAATCTGGGCACAATGCACTTGACAAGTGTCCGGGTCGTATGGCACGCAAATATGAACGAACTCTTTAATATTTCCTTACCGTATATCCAGATAAGTAATATTAAAGTAAGAGAAAGCAAGTTTGGAGTCGCACTCGTCATTGAATCAACCGATAGCAGTGGTGGTTATGTGTTGGGCTTCCGTATTGATCCATCCGATCGGATGAATGCTGTCTACAGTGAACTCATCAATTTGTTTACCATTCATTCAACTAAACCAGATTTGGGAGTCGATAGCTATCTAGAAATGGGATCAAGTCTTGCGTTCAACGATCACGAGTCTAACGCTGCACTCATAACCACAAGTGATTCCGATCTCAAAGAGATTGATGACCAACACGTCGCTCATCAGAGTGATGCCATCGCTGCCTATTTGGCTGATGAGGCGCAGTCCAAAAATAATGAGATAGTCTATTGTCCGCAATTAGGATTAGCCATCGAAAAGATCAAAGAAGGATTCACATTAGAGTCCTTGTGGCAAGTTATTCCTCAGGGGTAGATTTCAACATCAATTATGCAAAACAAAAAAAATGTTAATTAGCAGATTTTCTTTAATTTAAATACAATATTACAATCTAATGACCAATTCTAATGAATAATGGTTTTGACTTTAATTTAACAATTAATATACGATTTAATAAAACAAAACCTAAATTTTAATTTTAATAATTATGTTTTTGAACCAAACAAAGCATTGATTGGAAAATAAAATTAAAAATTAATAAAATGTGTTTTAATTTTTATAGTTCTTTAGCTAATTTTTCAGCTTTTTCTACCACTTCTTCGATGGGTCCGACCATATAAAATGCTACTTCAGGCAAGTGATCGTATTCTCCATTAAGAATGGCTTTGAATCCCTTAATAGTTTGGTCTAACGGTACGAACTTTCCTGCGTGACCTGTGAACACTTCGGCCACTTGGAAAGGCTGTGATAGGAATTTCTGGATCTTACGAGCCCTCGAWACCGTCAGTTTGTCGTCTTCGGACAACTCGTCCATACCTAAGATGGCAATAATATCTTGAAGTGATTTGTAATCCTGTAATAAAAATTCATTTAGGATAATGACAAACAAGAAATTAATGTCTAACCTGAAGAATCTTTTGAACACCTCGGGCAACATTATAGTGTTCATTGCCAACAATGTTAGGGTCCATAATACGAGACGTTGAGTCAAGAGGATCGACAGCTGGATAAATACCCAACTCAGCGATACCTCGAGACAATACAGTGGTGGCGTCCAAATGGGCGAAAGTGGTGGCGGGAGCCGGATCTGTCAAGTCATCGGCCGGCACATAGATAGCCTGTACGGATGTAATCGAACCTTTTTTGGTAGTCGTAATTCTTTCCTGCATAGAACCCATATCTGTGGCCAGTGTTGGCTGATAACCGACGGCTGAAGGAATACGACCCAAAAGGGCAGACACTTCAGAACCTGCCTGAGTAAACCTGAAGATGTTGTCAATGAAAAGCAACACATCTTGTCCTTCCTGGTCACGGAAATATTCGGCAACAGTGAGACCAGTTAGAGCGACRCGAGCGCGGGCACCGGGAGGCTCATTCATTTGACCGTAGACTAGGGCTACCTATTAAATGCAATAAACAATTTAATAAAACAAACAAAATGTAACAAAATTATTCAAATAATACCTTTGATGACTTGTCCTTAAGACTAATGACACCACCAGTGATCATCTCGTGATACAAGTCATTGCCCTCACGTGTTCGTTCACCGACACCGGCAAACACAGAATAGCCGCCGTGAGCGCGGGCAACGTTGTTAATCAGCTCCATAATCAATACAGTTTTGCCGACACCGGCACCACCAAAGAGACCAATTTTACCTCCCTTTGAATATGGAGCCAATAGGTCGACAACTTTGATTCCTGTGACCAGAATCTCGGCCTCGACACTCATGTCCACAAATGCAGGAGCTTCGGCGTGAATGGCAGCATATTTAGTGGTCTCAATGGGACCTCTGATTAAAACAAAACATTTTTATAAATTAATCGTTTTTTTTTAAATTAAAGAAACCTTTCATCAATTGGCTCTCCGATGACATTCATAATACGGCCTAACGTTTCGGGTCCGACAGGTATACTAATTGGTGAGTTTGTGTCCTGAACTTCATTTCCGCGAACCAGTCCTTCTGTACCGTCCATAGCAATAGTTCTTACAGTATTTTCACCCAAATGTTGGGCCACCTCTAAGACAAGTCTCGGTTTACGACCGACCACTTCCAGAGCGTTCAAAATCGGCGGCAGTTCCTCATCAAACTGGACGTCCACAACGGCTCCGATAACGGCTACAATTCTTCCCGGTTTTACAGTCGATTTGGTCTGAGTTGCGGCCCATCGCTTGTGATCTGAGTTTAATAAGTTATCCGACGATTAATAAGATTATTGTCCATCAAATCAATATAAAATAATATTTAAATTTTAAAATTAAATAATCATAAAATTAATTAAAACTGTGATTTGTGTGACCAATTGGTCACTGAATTCACGGCAATTGTGGTCAAAATGTGTGTTAAAATACAAATTAGTGAYCAAATTGAGTGTCAATTAACTGTGAAATGCATTCAAAAACAATACAATTCATGTCCTTTTCATGTCCTTCGACACCAATTTCAGGCACTATTTGTAGACATATTACATACAAATGCGACAAACATTGTCAACAAATGCTAGCATTAAAGTGTATGCTATGAATGGCAATGGAGTTATTTATTATTGTGTGATATAAAGGACCGGTAGGTATGGTATGTTTGGATATTTTGGACAGTTATCTCACACTTACTTAATGAAGTGGCGGCGGGAATGAGTTTATGATTAATATGTTGAGTGGTCGGTACGACACCCGACACGGGTAGCGAATATGCGGTCAGAGATTTGAAGGCCTTTCCACACGATCTCAACATTTTGACTCTTAGTTTAAAACTAATGTATTAATAATACATACAATACTCGTCCGCTTCTATACAACAGCACTACTAATAATAATAATATACTTATACTTCACTCACTCTCTATCACTATCTGTGAATTGATTGCATTACTTATACCTTCTATGACTATCACTAGTAGGCGCTTATGTATGCATTAAACAGACAATAAATTTAACTTTTTTTTGGTGAACTTTTGACATTAAAGGTAACCAAAAAAAAAAAAAACAGTCATATGGTTTTGAACATACAATTTTTAACCTACAGGTTCTCTATAACTACGGTAACAACGGTTAATCATTTATAAAGCATTCAAAAGATTTTTATTTCATATTTTTATTGATATTTCAATAAAACAATAGTTTTTAAAAACAAGTGCTGAGGAAAAAAAATATTAATTAACTACAAAATTATAATATCAGATAATAATAGTAATTATATGAAGTTATTATACAATTTTGGTTTACATATATATGAATATATTAATAGTAATTATAATAGTAATAAATATTTTTTTATCAAAAAACTAACAAAAATAGCATAAAATAGAAATATTTACAATCAATAGTCTCGGTTGCGTTCAGTACCTGATGTACGACTAGAACCGTAACTATTGTCATAATTAGATTGTTGTCCATAATTGGACTCATAGTTAGACCTATAGTTTGGTCTATAATCGGATGGTTGACGTTGTGAGCCATAACTTTGACGATCAAAACCGTAATCATTTGTTTGTTGTCGATAGCCATTGTTATAGTCCTGAGGAGTGACACCATAGCTCTGAGTTGAGCCATAATTTACCGAAAACTCAGGTCGTCGGCGCGGTTGATGTTGTTGGTTGCCGTCGAATGTGTTGTTGTATTGACGCTCTCTTTGAACAAATGGTTTGCGATATCCTTTGTCATACTGATAGCCGTAGGCATTGACTGCTCCGGGAGTTCGGAATTGTTTCCGACGTTTCTTATCCATTGCAACGTTTTTGGCCATATTTGACATTTCAAGCAATTGTGGACTAACTGTTTGATTGGATTCGCGCAATATTGCAATCAACTCATCCGCCTGTCGGGCCTCTTCTGAGGTCAAGAAAGTAAAAGCCGTTCCCGTTTTATCTCGACGACCAGTGCGACCAATTCGGTGAACATAATCCTCGCCAGTATTCGGATAATCAAAGTTAATAACATATTTTATGTCATCAACGTCTGGCATAAAAAGTTTTATTAGTTTTAATAATCTATAACTTTATTAGAGATATACCTAATCCACGGGCGGCAACATCGGTGGCCACAAGTATTGAAAAGTGATTTTTCCTAAAATCTATAAATTATAAACTATTAGACAAACAAATTACGATAAATAACATTTGGTAATCAAACCTCCAAGAACTTGATCTCTGACAGCCTGTGACTTATCGCCGTGAATGGCAACCGCTGATAGACCAGCAAAACGCAAAGTTTTGGTCAAATAGTCAACTGATTGCTTAGTCTTCGCAAAAATCAGTGTCTTATTGTCAGACGAAGAAGTGCTAATATTCTTCAACACTTCCATAAGTCTACGATTCTTATCGTATTCCTCGCAAATCTCGACAATCTGTTCAATATTTTTGTTGGCCATCAGTTCTCGACCGCCAACATTGATCTGAATGTAATCCTTCATGTATTGTGCGGCCAGATCTTTGACCTCCTTAGGCCAGGTGGCCGACCACATCACTGTTTGGCGCTCTCTTGGGATGTGTTCAATAATACGACGAATCTGTGGCTCGAAGCCCATGTCAAGCATACGGTCGGCCTCATCGAGAACCAGGTAGTCGACTGTCCGTAAGTCTACAACAGAACTCTCAACAAAGTCATTCATACGACCGGGCGTTGCGATAATGATTTGCGGGTTATTGTTACGCAATATTTGCATTTGTGGTAAACGAGAGGCACCGCCATAGAGACACACATTACTGGCAAAGTTATAGCGACGAATAACCGATTGGATCTGTTGAGCCAATTCACGAGTCGGCGACAACACCAGACATTTGGGACCTCTTTTGATACCTTCTTTAAGTATTTTAACAAAAGCGGGCAAAACATAACACAATGTTTTTCCTGAGCCGGTTTGCGCCACTCCGACCATATCCCGACCGGACAATACTATTGGCCAGCCTTGACATTGAATAGGTGTGGGCTCCGCAAAGCCATCGGCGTTCAGAGCTTGTTGTACAGCTTCGGGCCACGAATACGAATCCATGTCCAACATAGGCAACGGTGCTTCCCTTCCGTGGACAGTGATGTCATGTTTGAGCCAAAAATCCTTAATAGTTGTTTCCAGCGTTTGTTGTCCACTACCACTCGGATCAACCTCTAAGTTGAGCTTATTATCAAAATGAATGCCGTCTGATGTGTCCATTGTCTGTATCAACGATGAGATCAAATAAATCAAATGAAAATAAAGCAATCAATCAATCAATTGATTATCAAATCAATAGTCAATTGAATTGTAATTCAAGTTCTTTTCAATCATTCAATTGATAGAAACCAATGAAAGCGCGTGAATAGCAGTCAAACAATGTATGAATGCATTGTTAGTATTGACAGTCAATCACACAATCATTCAATGCTTTCAACAGTTTTTTATTGTCACATAAATTCAATGCATAAAACACTTACAGTTTGTTTGATATTAATATCAATGTTAGTGTCAAACGTGTCATTCATGTCATTGATGTTATCATAATTATGTCTGTCTTTACTGTCCATCACTAGGCGTTCACTTTCATGTGAATCAATCGACATATCTATTTGTAAGCCATGGCTGTATTTATTGTCCAAACAGTTCAACAAATCATCAATACTTACATCTAATGGCAATCCTATTGATGTCTAAATTTGTCCGACGATTAAAATGTCCGCAAAATGGATGACTATTTGGTATTGTCTTCAATGAATGGCCGGTCAAATGTTGGCAATTGCTATAATTCTTGACAACATTTAATGATAAACGTCTTAATAAGGATGACATGACCTCATATATGAATGGGTTTGTCAAATGAATGCTTAATTCAATTGAATCAATGAATGCCAATCATTAATATTATAAACAATTAGTAATTACAATATCAGACAAAACGATAAGTTTATGCAATCATATGTCATTTGAACGCCGTTTTCATCTATAATGCAATACCAACAGCACATGTGCTCAAAAAGCTCTGGTTTTAGTTATTTATTTAATAGTATTGGCTTCTGGATGTCAGCACAGGAATGGATAAATGGATCAATTATTTGCTACAGAGTCTCAACAATAACCGTTTACTACAGTATATGATATTTGTGGCATTTCTTCAGAGTGCCCACTATATAGCTATTGTCATCAATCGAAGTGCTTCGCTGTCGAGTGATATTTCAGACCAGATATCCATATTAAGTCATATTATGATAAAGGGATCGGTAGAGTAGGGTTGGCCCAAATGTATGTGTCAACTGTGCTAACATTATAATGTCTTAACACAACTATTTATCACAATCAATGCATACTTACATAATGATTGCATAACAGTTTTGATGATCTCCTTAATAGACCTATTGATTGATCGATTTTGCAAATTGTTTATCAACTATTTTTTCAATGTAATGATAATATTAAATAATAATATAAATTTTTATTTAAAAACTACTTTTATTTAAATACATAGATTAACGCATAATAATAATAATAATAGAATTATTGTTAGGATAGTAATAAAAGTTGATATACTGTACAGTATTGTATAGGAAATGTAATTTTAAAACTTGATATTTACTGTAAGTTAAGTTATATGGAAATGACGTTAAAATGATTTTAGCAGTTATTGTAGTAAATGTTACAAAAATAATTAGTCCATCATTTACTTAATTATCATAAGAATTATACACTAAGGGAAGCCTATTTTGGATAGTGATAGTAGTATTGTATAAAATTACTAATGTTATCACTATTTGTATATTAAGTTATTGTGTACTACTGTTGTCATCAATGTACTGTACTGTACTGTATATACTGTAATATTAATATATACTATAGAATTGCATAGCTTTATATGATATACTTATTACTAAATATAGAATATTCTGTATATTCTATAGTGTTTACAAAGTATAGTGTAGTGAATGTTATGTTGAGATTGAAGTCCTAACACAACAGTTATATTGAGATATGGAGTGAAATGAAATGAAATACTATTTCAATAATCAGAGGATTAAAGAGAAGTGAAGCGACCGATAATGCAATAGTTAATGCTTAGGGCATAGACAGCACAGACAGCTTAGACAGACACACAACGATGCAAACAGAGCTGAATCCCAGTTCTCAATCGTTGCTGACTCGGCTTACAAAACACGGCATCAATTGAATCAATTCAATGCTCTACTCTTTCACTATGTTTACTACCAACTGCTCAAATGCAAGCCATTAGATCCCACTCAAGACAATGACATTCAAATGAAATTTTCTTATAAAACACAACAAAACAATATTATTATGATTTTCACTAAAATAATACATTTGTTCTTAAAAAAAAGTTGGAGACGACTATAATATAGGGGTATATATATATATACTATATATATATCTTTAAAAACAAGTATTGTATTATACAGTTAACTGTTGTATATGTAATACTTTAACTATATTTTAGGGTTTCCAAAGATGTCTATATATTTTTCATCATAAATCACAAGTCATTTATTGGTTTTCAATAATGAACACATTAGACGAATAGAGAGACCATTTACTTTAAACACCACTACATTATTGTGAATAATATATACACTACTGTACAGTATAAAGATATTCAACTACTGTATAGTACTGTATAGTAGTTTTATAATATTATGATAGACGCCTATGAATTGTATGCAAAAAAACATTTTCAAATAATACAGTAGACTATACTGTAAATACTTTACAATATATTCTACTTTAATATACTAAATATTTATATAAAAGTGAGGAAAATAATTGAATAAAACTAATTTACTTTACTTTTTTTTACTTGTGAGCTAACTTACTATCAAAATTGTTATGAAAATAATTTAATGATTTTACATACAAAATGAGCAAAAATTTCAATGATAATAACAAATGAATCGACAAATTACATACTATTCACTTACTGTCAATTGACTACAATTTATAGAATTGCAAATAAAACTAAAAATATAAAAGATATGCAATAAAATAGATGAAAACATTGATATTTAATGAATATATATTATTAAAATGATGTGAAACAAGTTTAAAATGTTCAAATTTGAATTTTATTTTAAATAATTTATTTAATTTTTATAAATAGTTATCCAAACTAGCTTGTTTACAAATCAATAAATGATTTTTTGGATTAAATATTATATTGTAATTTTACAATAATTTTAGATAAATATTAATTTTTTATATGAATAGTTTTCAAGGAAATCAGTAATATTTCTGAATGTTATGAAATGTTAAAATTTTAATATAAGCTTTTATAACATTATTATATGTATTATTATTATTATTTTGTAAAGAAGATTAGCAGCAACAAAAAATCTATATTTTGTGATATTTTTAGCATATACTTAATGTTTATAGCAATAAATTTTTATTSAATAAATACCAGAAAACCTTTTAAATTATAAGCTTATAATAAAGTGTTCAGAATCTGAACTTCATATTATTAAACGTAGATTTTTGGTGAATGAATAATAAAATGGAAATTGCTTTCAATAACAGTTTAAGTGTATATTAATTTACAAAAAAGTGAAATTTGATACAAACAGTGATTTGTAGTAATACTTGCCTTCAATATGAAACGTTATAACGGAAGATAAACTTTGTATTTAATAAATATGTATTAATATTTTATTATTAATAAATTTTATAAAAATGATTTTATAATTATTTTGACATTAATAGTAATTTAAACTATAGTATATTTTTAATTAAAATATGATAGATTAATTTAAACTATTTAATTTAGTATTATAGTTAAAAATTTCTTTGTAATGGAGATTGTAATTAAAAAAATTAATAATAATTTTGAATTAAACTATTTCAATACGATTTTAAATTTKTATCTTTTGTATAAAACATTACTTATTTTATTAATAATAAGTAGAGACATCAAAATATGTGCTCAAAATTATCAAAATATGTGAAAATGTTTAATTTAAAAAAACACTTATAATTGAACTAAATTTGTACATATTTTGWTAGTATATTATCAATAATTAATTTTGAGACATTGTCTTAAAATAACTATAATATAGTATATAAAATAAATTATATAAGTTTTCAGTTTATATTAATGACATAATGTTTGAATTAATTTTAAGTCSTTGTTTCTAAACATTTTTTCTCAGATATTTACTAATTTAATAACTTTGTATAAAAATCAATGTTTTATAGATTTTAAAATTATATATTTTTGTAAAAATGTAGTAATATGTGGAAATATGTGTTTTACATATTTTGATGTTATTTTAGTTTAGACATTTGAAATTGTATATTTATTCAATTATATAGTAATTTATAGATAATTTAATCTAATATATTTTTATAATACTAAATACATTTATGTACTTTTATTCAATATACAAGATATTAATATATAATAAATAAATACTGTATATCAGATATAATATACATAATAAATTTATATACCATATATACATTTATTAAATTAATATTATTTACTGATAAGGTGTAATATTAGTTTGTTTATTAAATGCGGCAAAAAATTTAAAATTTTACAAATAATTATTAATATAATTTCAAATAAAAATCAATTTTATATGAATATAATGTACAAACTTTATATTTTAAATGTTTATAACCTAAACATAAAACATAAATATACTGTACTAATATAAATATACACTATATATTTRTATTATAACCTTAGTTATGAATATTTGCCTCTTTTTCTATAGAAACATAAGTAAGGTTTGATTTATAAAATAAAAATGTTTTTGTGTTTAACAAATAAAAATCATTGAAAAAAGTTAATACAAACGTTACATTCAATTTATATTTATTTTATATTCTTTAAAAAAATAATAACCAACGAAGCAAATCAAAAAATACTAACACTTAAAACAGTGAATTAAATAAACAATAAACTKGTGAATACATAGTATATTCAATCAAATTAATGCTTATTGCAAATAAACTAAYATATAKTAACTACCGATATGTTAGTTATGCTTTGAAAATATCATAAAATAATAGTAAATAATTTAATTCATAAGAAAATAGTTTTCAGTTAATGCTAGAGTATTTATTTAAAAATATTGTAATTATTTAAAATAATTATTTAAATATAGTATTTAAATAAAAATTAATACTATTAATTCTATACAATATCAATATACAAAATTATATATAATTTTTCAATATTATATATCTGTTTATGTTTTAAATAAAAAAATTATTAAATGTAGTGTAAATTGTGTCACTAAACTGAAAAAGCTTGAAATTTATGGATATTTTTCTATTGAATTTTATACCGATTTAAAATACTATTGAATTTTTCGAATATTTTTTGAAAACTCGTTTATAACTTATTTTTTAATTATTATTAATAATTTATTAAAATTATTTCTAAAATATACATAAAATAAGATTTTTATGTAATGATTTAAACTAATTGTTTAAAATTTAATATTATAAACACAATTTAAATATTTTTAACATTATTTTTTAAATTAAATTTATGGAAAGTATATTAATATTTTTTAATTTATAAGTTTTAATTATAATTCATAATGATTTGTATGTATCTTTTCTATTGACATTATTATATATGTGTACCATACTTGACATTACCAACAATTGACTTATTAGTTACATAACAAATTGTAAAAAATTAAATTAATTTTTTATTTGCAAAATTCCTTTTCTATTTTTAGCATATTTTTTCAACACTTGAAATCATTTTTAGTTTAACTGAATTTTTATGACTGATATTCYCTATGATTTACATGTAATAAATGTGTTGTATTTTTACATAATGTATTGATTTTTTAGAGATTTTTTACCAAAACTAAAAAAGAATACAAGCTTTTAGAGAAAAAATGTCTAATTAAACGTCTATTTGATTTACAGCTAATATTATGTTACAATAATTTTAAATATATTTAAAGTTCAATTTTTTAAAATTTTATGTTTAAATTAATTCAACCATTAATTTATTTGAATTTAACGCACTGGATATCTTAAAATTATTTATCCATTATGTCTTCAAATATTTGATATTTTCAAGAATATTATGAACCTTTAAATTAATTTTATATTAAACCAATAAAAATTTATTGTACTATTAAATGTAGAAAATTATTAAATATTAATATTATTATTAATATCTAGATTTAATATAGATTTTTTAATTGAAAATCAATAACTATTGTTCATATGCTTATTTGTTGTATTTATTTAACATAATTTAAATCTTTGATTGAAAAATAAATTAAATACTAAATAAAAAATTATTATATATATTAATTATACTGTATATTAATTAAGATATTTGAATAATTTATAAATATATTTTATTTTACTGAAATAATTTTTTTAATTTATTTTAATATTTTTAATAAAATGAATTCTTATATTTTAATTACAAAATTGTCTTCAATTACTGTATGATTGTTGCAATTGATTTACATTTTTACACAACAGTAACATTTCATAACAAAGTTCATTGATTTGTAGACATTCATATGCAACTACCGGTGCGTATCACATGAATGACCAGTTATTTTAGCAATTGATAGCTTCAACAATGAAAGCATCGTTTGTTATTTTCCATATATTAGTGCTATTTTTAGACACACTTTCAGCACAATTGTCGCATAAATTATGGAAAAATTTATAATTTGTTTCATTTTTAGTGTATAATAAACAAGGATTTTAATGAAGCGTTTTTTAAGTGAAACTTTATTTAATATTCATTACAATAACTAATCTATTTTTTGCTAAAATTCCTTTACTTCAATCATTTATATATTATTATAACATAAAAATTTATATATACAGTAAACCATTAAAACAATAATAACATCCATATTGTATGAGTCCTATCATTATGTTGTGACACAAACTTTTAATCAATTATAACTAAAACGTGACCTTTTGATGAACTTAACAAACTTTGCTTATTATTAAATCACTCATACATTAATAGAATTAATTGAATAATGTTTTTTTGACATTAAGTGATAAATATGACATTTTACTAATAGATAAAATCTAAAATTAGTTTACCATTAATATTATATACATATTTATAGTAAAAAAAAACTTGTTTAATATTTTTAAATAATATTAATTTGAATAATAAAATTATGAATAAATATTGTATAAATTATTATTTGATAGGATTATCTACTTTTTGTCATTTAATGTTTGTCATTGATTTTTTATTAATTAAAAATATTTTTAATAATTCACTGATAGAATACAGTAGTTTTATATATTTTCAATAATTATGTGATTGTAATATAATATTTATTAAAATAAATAAATTTCTATAATCAAACTAAATGTGTGAAAACAATACTCAACTGTAAGATAAAGTCATATTTTATAAATTTTATTTAATAAGACTGTATCTRAAAAATATATAATTACTTTATAAACATTATTACTATATAAAGTAGATACTAGTACAGTATATGATATATTATATGATCAAAATTTTGGAAATAGTAAAGTTTTAAAATATGTATTTGTTTGTAATATTTGTATTATTTTTTAGTAAATCTAATCAAAATCTTTGGTTTTTATACATGATTTGAGATATAAAAACAATTTTATCATCAAAAAGCTGCCGGCAGTATAGGTTAGGATACAGTGAATATGTTTTATTTATATAAGTTATTATAACATTTTTGCATATAAGTTGTGCGTATTATAAATATCTTATCGTATGTTTTTGACTTTCAATTATGGTATGAAATATGAAAAATTTTATTCAAAACAATAATATCATAGAATGAATAATAAAAATATTTGAGAAAAATATAATATTTGAAATGCAATTTTACATTTTGTATGGTTTTAATCTTTTATAAGTAAAACCTAAAAATGATAAAAAAAGATTTATGATCTTAATTTATCCAATATTTTTATTGATACCAAACTAATTATGTACATTTTGTTTGCTATTATAATAAATTCTTTATATATTTCATATATGTAGATACAATCGAAAATAATTATTACAATAATTATAGACAAATTTACATTACATTAAAATTTAAATACTGTATTTATTTTTGTAAAGCRTGTTATAAAGATTATAATTATAAGCTAAATATATGATATAATATTCAATATAGAATACATCGGTATAAAAATTTTTCAAAAAATTCTAACTTTAATTTTAAGACTTTAATATTTTGAGTATTTCTATAATTTATTGCTTTTAAAAAATGTATTTTATATTATTGAGAGAAAGAGAAAGAAAAAATTGTGTTATATTGTGGCTTCAATTTAGTATATTATAAGGCATACAAATGTTATTTTGCAACCAATTTTTATATCGACTCATATATTATTACAATTCATGTTTTGTATATAAAACAAATTTAAAAGAAAATACAAAGAAATAGTTTTTTAAAACAAAATTATAGTACAGTACTTTCAAAGAAAAGTTTTTCATCGATTTTTTGCTTTTATTATTTTTTTGTTAAAACACTTTTCATTATATTATCTCATTTGTTGTCTCACTTTTAATATTATTTAAATTTTCATTATATCTTTATTAAAGTTAAAAAGAAATATTTATTTATAAATATTTTAGTCTCTTTGTCTTTCATTAACTCACTCACTCATTAACTCACTCACTCACTCACTCACTCACTCACCCACCTATTTATTGTTTTCATTGTGTAGTCCAGATGTGATTTTATAGTCTAGTTTATTATCAAACGAAACAATTATATATGAAATATCAGATGATATATATTTTATATTTTATATACATTACTGTTATATACCGATCGTTACTGTCTTTAGTATTATATTTGAGACTTTGATTCTTAGTTGGAAAGRGAGTCAAACAAAGGGGCGTTGAAGCGAAATGGTATGAAAGTTAGAGGCAATGGACACTAACTCTAAGACTATACCACAAAAAGCCGTTTCACAAACACTATAGTGCTTTTAGATACCATTTGGATCATAAGTTAACACCAATAGATTATATATTATATAATATAACTCTCTCTCTCTCTCTCTCTCTCTCTCTCTTCTCTCTCATATTTCTCTTTCTTTAATAGTGATGCCTCTGACTTAAAAGATAGCAAAACGATATATAGTTAATACTGAGTACAATATTGAACTCAAATTTGGGACAAATATGTGTCTATTTTTTTGTATTGTACTCTCTCTCTCTCTCTCTCTCTCTCTCTCTCTCTCTCTCTCTCTCTCTCTCTCTTTTACTCTGTTTGTATGATTGAAAATAATTGCATTCAGGAAATAAGCGATGAAATGCAGTGTGCTTTTAAGCGAGTTATTAGATACATATAACAAAATTTTTAACACAACTATAGCTCAAACTAATTGACAACTGAGTACTCCTTTTCCTTTTTAATTCACAATTTAATAAAAAAGAGAATAAATGGCATATATTTTTCAGAATATATTAATAGCATATAATCTATCATTAGTTTTAACAAATTTGTTTGTCTATCTGTTTACGTATTTTTGTCAGTTTATCTATTAAATAGATTCTGTTATTATTAAATGCAATATAAAGTTTGATCTTTTTTGAAAACTAAATAATTTTGTTTATAAATTATCAGTTTTACATTATCTATGATTAATAAATAACATTCACTTATATTAATAAAAATATAATATAAACTTAATTTGAATATTGTAAAAATTTTAATTATCATTTTAAAGTATATAATTAAATTTATCTAAAATTTGACTTGAAATGAATTGGTTTGAAATTGAGTTTTATTATAAAAACATAAATAATTAAATTTATATTAATTTTGTGTTTATTTTTTATGCACTTTCCGTTTTTATTTAATGGTATCCATCAATTGCATCCATATATTGCTTTTCCAAAAACATTGGCATTAATAAAAATCTGTTTAATAATAAAATTATTATTAAGAAACTAATGAATTGACAAAAAAAAGTTTTTTCCATATAAATTTGAACATTTTCTGAATAATATTAAACTTAATGGTAAAAACAAACAAAAAACAAAATCTAAAGTTAATTTAGGTTCAAAAAAAATTAGAAGACTATTTGTTTGTATGTTTTTTTATATATAAAACGAATTGCAATTCAAGCAGTTTTTTAATGAAAATAACTACATATTGATCGGACATACCTTATAGGTATTAGTATTGCTATTATAATAGGGAACGCCATTTGAACGTAAGCCCAGGGGGCGAAACCAAAGAAGCACAAGATTACCAATTGAATTAATTGGACAAAAGTGAAGATATGGATCTTTCTTTGTGGACATCGACGCACGTAATGATTTGGTGGATAAGCAGTCTATAGTGTATATAAAAAAGAAATAAAGAGAAGATCGCAACTAATAATGAAAGTGTTGTGATTTGCAAATGTCTTTATCTGTCATTTTATATATAATATAATACATTACTTGTTCAGTAAGAAAAAGGAGAATCCTTTCGAAGAATGAATTGCCTCGAAGTGATGCAAAGGCACAGTAGAGAAACAGACCACTCAATACCGATACGGGAATGTAATCCAATGGATGTGGTATTAAGAACAACGATAAACCAATCAATATATGAATGGCCAGACCGGTCACACGGGTCTCACGAACTTTGATAATAATATCGTGAACGTAGCCATCGGTTACTCTTTGTTCGACATCAGCTAAGCTACGGGCGTGAAGAGGTGAGTGGGGGAGTATGCCGTGCATCCATGGCATACCAAATATAGACAGAAAACCATTAAGTATGGCCACAACTAACAGATCCCAGTCATAAGCACTGCCTTTCTTTAAGTTATTGTTGGGATTATTAACCATTGCTGCAGATATATTCTGATCCATAAAAAATAGTAGCGACAGAGCAAAGCCCAGAGCCATACCTACAAACACTGATTCAGCCGTTAATGTCGTAAATGAAGCGCTTTTGAACTCAAAACTGTCGCTAATTTTGAAGGGTTCGGCTGAAAGTGATTTATAACATTAACAACAATAGTAATGTGTTTATTATACTGTATATTAATATCCGAGTGTTTTTTATTAATTGTTTGTGTGATTTAAAGCAATCAATTTGTGTGTTGTTGTTGTGTTTTACTGTATATAGCAAAACAAACATTTGAGACAAATATTAATGGATTGGTTTTATACCTTTGATATCTCTAAATAGGAAAGTGCCGACAAAACTGAATGCAATGACAGACAAGGGAAGGGCATAATCGGCCAATAATTCTCGCTTATTGCCACTCAAGTAAGGCCTAACAAAATGCAATTTATCAATAAATAGGACATAAAAATAATGAACACAAAGTTTATTATTTGTTTGTTTGTTTGTTTCTCTAATATTTTCCTTAATATATTGTCGTACAGAATATTCTGCAGTTTTATTATATTCTTTATTTTTATATACAATATATATCTACTTCTGTACTAATATGTTGTGTTGTGTTAATAATAGCCAAACTCACGTTTTGTTGAAGTTGTAGATTGTTTGGGCCAACCATACGGTAGCCAACATTAGGAACAGAAATAATATACTGTTTTGTTGGAGACAATCACTTGTTATGTCCATTGATTTTGTATTATTATTAAGGCATTCATTCACACAGTAATACGTTTGAAAATCTATTCATTGGATATATATTTTGTTTTCATATAATATTAATAATTTTTAGTAAAAACATTTAGCGGATAGAAAAAAATATAAGAAAATAATATTTTAGTAAATATTAATATAATAATTATCTTTATATTCATATATTGTATTTAGATATTGCTATAGAAATATAATTAACTAAGAAATGAAATAATGACTCAACTTTTGACACACTCTTTGATGGCATCGACAGAAAAGGCAAAGAATATAAACAATGAAAATATTTCTTCCGTAGATCGGGAGCACCACCTCATCAGCACTGATACGTCAAACACTGCATACAATAATACAAACAATGTGTTCCAGAGGCCAACGCAGGCAAACATATCGTAGAAGTTGACCTCCARGTCAAGTGAAATATCATAGACTACTTTAATATAGAGACATAGGGGTGCAGTTGTCATTATGATGACCAGTGGCTGACCGCCTATCAATGCAAACACTGCTCCACCAATAGTTTGACCAATTAATGCGCGTCGGGTGTCAATCATGTGATTAGTATTTTTATCGTCCAATACTCCAAATGCAATACATGGCAGAAGACACGCAAAATATAATGATATAGTCGTTGATATTGTCTTATGTAATGTCTTGGGACCGACAAAACCTGTTTATTTAGATTATTGTCATTTAGTCAATGAATAGACCATTATATATGATATATCACTGACATTACTGACTTAAAAAAAGGAGTCAAAAGTAGTGAATATATAACTGAAATCATTTGATTATAGAAAAAGATACATCAAATTAATAGATAAAACAGTGAAATATTTTGTTTATATATTTATGAAGAATTTATATCTACTAAAAGCATTATTTTTATATCATTATATGGGAAACATTGTCATAAAAATAAATAAGGTTTTATACAAATAACAGTACTTAAAATTGAAACATTTGTGAGACACTTTCTAAAATAATGTCGAGAGAGAGAGAGAGAGAGAGAGAGAGAGAGAGAGAGAGAGAGAGAGCACTTTGTCAGATAAAACATCCAAAAAAATACATTTATTTTTATAAATAAAAATTTTATCAATACTTTTTAAAAATTTTAAGTCACGATTTGAACACTTTATTATAGATAAAAAATGTATAAAAACAAAAATAATATATAAAAAACAAAAAAAGTGAAGACACAGACCGTCGACATAATCGCTGTAATAGTATTTCAATCTTCGGCTAACATTCTCAATGATTCCCTTTCCAAATGATAGACGAGATCTGGTCTATAAAAATAACTACTAATTAAAAGCAATCAGTTATTTGCATTAATTTTTATTTAAACCTCTTTTTCGGCGATTTTCTGTAAGAAGTTGTAYTTTGAGAAAGCATTTTCAGACAAATTATGGGCTCTTTTGGCAATTAAATCAATGAATTGCTGTTCATTTGTGGCATTTATAAGCTTTTGTCTAAAGTTGATGTCAGCAAAAATGGTGCCAAATGTACGACTGGCCTCTTCTGCACTTTTTGTCGCTTTCTATACAAAACCGTTTCATTAATAAACACAATATTTAGTCATTTGTTAACATTTTATAAGAATAATATTCTTATAAATAGTAATAAAATACGATCTAATGTTTATTATTAATATTAATTTTTGTTTCTTTCTTAATAATAATAGAATTAAAGGGTTTTAATAAGACATTTGATGAAAATGTCTTAATATATGAACACCTCATAGATTGGGACCAATATTAGTATAAAAAAGATAACGTCGTGTGAAGTAATTCCTAAATTTGTTGGATGTCTTAGTCTTGCGATACAGACTTTGCGTTTGCTTAGCGATGGCAACGAACAACTGATTGAAAAATAAATGATTACTTTTTTATTGATACCATTATTGTCTGTATTTGTCTGTATGTCGTACTGTCGTAAAACACTTTATATAATATATAGACTTACAAAGTGCATAGCCATGACTGGTCGTACTGGAAGTGCTCATCACTTGACAGTCCATACATTCCTTGTATAGTATTTCTCAAGAGTTGATTTCCATCAGCGAAGAGTGTCTTTTTTGCTTCATATAATCCTTCGTTACTTTCATTATCACTCAAATGCTATATTTAGTAACAAAAAGACAAAAATCAATGAATAAAAATAAAAATTWWWTWTTCTCTCTCTCTCTCTCTCAAAACTCTTCAAAAATAGTCATTTATATTAAACTAAAATAAAAACATTTTTTTGTGTTTTAAAATAAAAAATTAATCAAAATTACTAAAAGAACTAATAAATAACTCATACAATGAAATATATATAAAAAACAATTTAAATGCAAAATGCAATGAATTGATTTATTAGTAGTAAAAAAGATATAATTTTATTTAATTTGAAATATTTTCTCTTTTATTATGATTATTATTTATATTGCAATTTGTTAAATTGTTTTCTAAAAATAAAACTATTTTTTCGTTTGTGTTGTTTGATAATTACAGTAAAATTTATAATAAAAATAAAAGTAAAATATATTTAATATAATTTATTATTAAATAATTTTTAAACACTAATTTTATTTATTGAAATTAGGGTTGTAAGACGTCYTTCAAAAAGGGATAATCAAACTATTTTGGTTTAAATAAACAACTATTTAAATATCATTGAAAACAATTTTAAAAAATTACTTTTAAAAATTTATGATACTTATAGTAATATTTAAGCTTAAATTAGTATATTATTTATATTATCATTAAAATATTATTTTTAAGTACTTAAAGTATAGTTTGACAATTTTAATTTAATGTAAAAGATAAATTTGTTTTACATAGTCATGTCTATAACCAATGTATATTTAAAGCTTAATTTTATTATTATTTTTCATTAACAATTTATATTTCACTGCAACTAAAACTAAATTATATAATTAGATAAAAGTGACTAAACTCTAAATTTGATAAATATTTCAGTAAACAATAAATAAAAAAAAGTAATAAAAATAAAATTATTTTAACTGCAATTGATGTAAAGTTTTGATTAAATAATCAAATAAATAAAATTTCAATAAAAATGWTTTTTGAATAAAAAAACTCTGTTAACATGACATTAGGTAATGTAATGTTATTTATAGCGAATGTTAATCTAATTTTTTGATTCACATTTTAGCCTATTTTTGCTATAATATGATATCAAGTAAAAATTCAAATTTAATAAAAAAAATTATAAATCTAATCAAAAATTTTATTGTTGATGTTTATTCACTTAACACTAAATTTGTCCGCAAATAAAATATGTGCAAAACAATTGATATTATACTATCTTTAAGGCATTGAATTGAAACATAAAAAACAGTGACTTTAAATGACTTACGGAAATCATTTTATGAATAATTGCCTCTAAATTATACTCTTGACAGTCGAGTATGACATGTGGGTCGGCCTTAAATAAGTCGATATCCCGTTTCGGTCGAAACTCGTCGACAAAATCTCGGTGTTTGATCACTTGTACGGTATTTGATACGAGTGACTCATATTTGGTATCATCGATGCACTCATCGTTTTCGGCCACACTTCGGGTGTCACTTGAAAACGAAAAGGCATTACTTCGACGGCGACCCCCATTAAACACCACACCATTGATATCATCATTCAATTCAATACATATTGATTTTTGTTGTTGAAATTTATGATCATTTGATTTGAACTCACTATTATTATTATCCATTTTACTATCAATTTTGATAATTTGCTATTAATTTTACTATTTATGCAAAATAATGTAAATGCTTTTCAATACATATACTAATTATAAGAGACAATTCTGAGACAAACTGATAATTACARTAAACTTGTATTTTATATTTTTCTATTTCATATTTAGTAAAATAGTTGATTTTCTAACACTAATAATATATTATAGTATAAAAGTTTACAATGTTTTTGATTTTTTAGAATAAATATTTTGATAATAAGAGTTATCAATACAATAAAAAGTAAATGTACTCTATCTGTATATTAAACAATATGTAATAAATTTTATTATTTAATTGAATGACTATTAAATAAAAACACTTTTGTCACTCATGTTCAGGTCGTGTGATATATAAAAAAATATGACAACAATTTAATATTAATAAATTAACAAACTAACTATAAAAATAGCTGTAATTGATATCTTAAAAATGTAAATGCCTTTATTAAATAATTATATTAAATATAATGAAGAATTAATAAAGATTTTATTAATTTTTTATAGATATGATATAAATACATATCATTTAACACAAAATAACTTCAATATTCATTGTAAAAATTAAGTATTAATTATTTGATTTTTTCACAATTGTTAATTAAAAACAGTTAGTTAATTTATTACTATTTTTATTTTTTTATTAATTAAATGCTTATTAAATCACATTGCCATTAAAGGTGCCAGTTATACAAAAAATTATATTTTATTAAAAAAATATTTTATTATTAATTACAATTAATATAATAATATAATAATTATATGAATGTTGTTTATGTAATGTTTAATAATAAAGATATAAAACAAATATCTACGATATATGCAAATAATATATTATTTGATATTTTAAAGTTGTAATATTTTTTAGTCATTAGGATAGTGTCAATACTGAAAATAAAATATAGTCTGAAAATATTATATTTAATTGTATGAGACAATTGTGGATATTTATCATTTCTAAATATATCTATTAATTAAATAAACAATTTATAAATACTAAGAATATTTTATGTAATAAATTGAATAGTACAGTATAATAGAGATTAATATTTATATATATACGGTATATAATTAGTTTATTTTTACTTTGATTTAAGCAAATTTACTTTACTATAATAACACATATAAATATATTAAATATTATTTTAGCTCATTAATGCTAGATTGTGTAATTTAAATAATACTTAATGTGCAAAATGCACAACTGTATGATTAATATTATTTTAATACTGTACTTAAAATACATGTAATTTATGTCAAGTAAAGCATAAATAATTTACATCAGTGTAACATCAAATACAAAAAACTTATTAATACAAATTCATAATCTATTGATTAGTTTTCTAATAATGACATTTCAATGTAAGTTTAAACTGTATTTGTAATTATTGTCATAAATAATGAATTTTTAATTCAAAACAGTCAAATAAATATTATATTAATATTTATTTAAAATATATTAATAGATTAGAACAATTAGAAATTTTAMATAAACTTTAACAAAATTTCTCTGTAATAAATATTTATAGACATATTTTTAATTATTAATATATTAAGAGATTCTCAAATATGCATAAATATTCTCATTTATTACAATCATATATTAATACTATAAAATAATACTTTATATTTATTATATATGTTATGTAAATACTATATATAACTTATATATATATATATATACTATAGAATCTAAATATAAAAATATATTATAATTTAATTATATATTTTTAGTTAACAAACAACACAAAAATTTAATAAAAATAAATAAATAAAAATGTGTTAATGCTTTTAAATAAATTTTACTGTTTAAATTTTCTAAATTAGAATTTTTAAAACAATGCTAATAATTTGGGTAAATTCAATACAATAAATAATTATATATTAAAAGGAAAAGAAATTTTGATTTTACAAATTAGGAAAATATGGTAAAGAAATTATTTTTAGAAACATTATAGAAATTTACTATTTATAAAAYATTTCTGTCTATTTATAGTTGAAGTGTACAAAAAATTCTGAATAATATTTTATCTTATTATTCAAAATGAGTAAAGTTATTGATCAGTAATTTATAGTATTAAAAGTCATARATATATACCATATGCATGACTCAAATAAATTATATATCAATATATTTTTAACTATTAAAAACTTTTTAAATATAATAATCAGCTAATTTATCTGATAAAACCAAATTATAGATACATATATTTACTATATAATATATTATAAAATATTTTTATATATAATCTCTTTATATTATTTTTAAAATATATAATTGGGATCACTTACCAACAGATAGTCTCATATTTAAGTTTGTTCTCAATTTCATATAATAATGTTGTAATAATAATAATAATAATAATAATAATAATACTGTAATATAATTTGACAAATTGTAAAAATGATTTATTGCAAAATATTATTTTCTAAATATAACTTATTTTATATATAAAATTTATAAAACTACAATCTTTTTATTATATAAATTATAATATATATATATATATAATATTGTATATATATAATATCTAATTTAATGATTCAATTTTAAATTCAATTTTTTTAATTGACTAAAATAACAATTGAATTAAAATAAAATAAAACGAATTGTCATCAATATTGCATTTAATGTAAAATAGGAATAATGTCAATTGAATTGAGTATAAGTTCAAAAAATAATTTATTTTAAAATGTTTTCTCGTCCTTTTTAGCAAAAATTATAGCATTAACTATAAGATTTTTGGTGTCATTTGACATTAACGTAAACAAACGTATCGAAAATCGATGTTTTATGACAAAACAGTGCCATCGGCAATATTGACCAATCAAAATGAATCGAACAAAAAATTAAATATTATTGAATTTTAATTTTATCTATAAGTTATTAAAAATTAAATTTATGTATGTCTTATAATAAGTGATGCTCACATATAGTGGCTTTTATCATCTAATGGTAAAAATGGCTGAAGATTGTGATAATTAGATCTTATCATCTAATGGTAAAAATGGCTGAAGATTGTGATAATTAGATCCAATTATCATCTAATGCTGAAAAATAAATGAAATATTTGACATATTCCTAACTTCATCAGTAAATATTACCATTATATGATAATATGACCTATTCCTCAACTTCTTCAGTAAATATTACCATTATATGATAATATGACCTATTCCTCAACTTCTTCAGTAAATATTACCATTATATGATAATATGACCTATTCCTCAACTTCTTCAGTAAATATTACCATTATACGATATAATCATACATTTATAGGTTTGGCTAGTATATGTTAAAATATTTGTAATTATTCTAAAACCGTTGAAAACTTAATAATAGATTAAATTTTGATTGGTCTAAAATTAATTTAATAACACGCGCCATAACAATCTGGTCACTTAAGGTAAAAATAGCTAAATTTGAATGACTTCAGAGCGTTAAAAGACTCAATAATAATAGGACTGAAAATAACAATAATAATAATAATAATAATAATAACAACAACAACAACTACTACTACTACTACTACTACTACTGCTGCTAACATCACAACAAAATAATAATAAAAATATATTCACAACTCATAAATCATTCATTCATTTAAGTCTTAAAAAACTTCAATACAAAATTTACAGTATTTTGCACTAATAATATATTAAAATTTTTAAATAAAATGTTATCAACATTATATGAGAATATTCTATATATAAATTATTAAGTATAATTTTACATATTTATATATAATATAAAATTATTTGTAGTTATTTAAAAACTTTAGATAGCTATAGATTGAATATAAAGAATTTAAAAATATTTTTTAATAAAATAATAATATTTTTTTTATAAATTTTGCAATTATTTAGCAGTTTATATAAAGTAAAAAGATTTAAATATATACTCAACACTATCAGTAATAATATATGCTATTTCTTATTAAATGGTTGGACTCGTTTGCAATTGGCTTAACTATAGATTAATGGATCGATAGACTACTATTTTCAACATATAATCACTCAGTATATCATAATACACATGAAATTGCTATATATTTATCTATATATCTGTATATATAAATATAAAGAATATTCTTTTAATGCATATTTGTTGATACAGTTTGTGTTATGAGAGAGAAACAGGAATTGCATGAGAAATGTAATGTCATTCTCATTATTCGTGAGCATTACTAACACATTATAAAAGATAGCACTGGTATGCAATTTGCATACATTTTTATATGTTAACGGTTTCCGTAACTCATATAATATTTGTATTGAGGTTCACATAGCAATAGCTATTGTTATATTACATAATAACAACAATTTAACGCAAAATGTAAAAATATTTTTCAAAAAATATGTGCCAATAATTAAGGTTAGAAAATATTAAAATAATACGAGTATTGATTTTTCACAAAATGTTTAAATTCTTTCAATTCTTTCAAAATTTTATAAATAAATAAAATAAATAATATAACAAAAATTATAAAAAAATTAAAATAACGTAAGGCAAATTTATTTGGAAACTATAATTTTTAGATAATTTAGCACATTATTTGAAAATGTTATCTTAACTTTTAAAACTTTTAAACATATATTTTGAAAAAGTTTTATAAAATATCAAAAAATATTAAATATATATTATATATAAATATATATTTATAATACAGCATATTACTTAATAATATTGCTACTACTTCTTGGTATATTACTTTTCTATTTTATGTTTATTTTTATAAAATTTATTATAGGTTTAAAATATAAAAAAATTAAAAATAGTTAAATAAATATATATATATATATATAGATTATAATAATATAAGTATGTCTATGAAGACAAACATTTATGTTATACAGTAGTAAATATTTGTAAACAAATTTACGTGGCTAATAACTATTATAATGTATAGCAATTGCCATAAAAAATTTTCCCAATTTTCTTACATAAAGCGTGTCTAAAATATTTTAAAACAACTAAATATGCATTTTTATATCAATTTGGTGTAAAATAAAAACATTTTGCATATAAATAGAATTAAAGACATAAGTTTTTTAAGCACAGAAAATATGTTATAGTTTTTTATTG